AGACTCCCCTTATTTTATGGGCTCGAAAATTAGCACAAGATCCAATAAGTGAGTTGTAAATAATACTTTGCAATAAGAATTTAAACACAACACATCCTTCTCACCTCAAAATCTTACTGACCTTTTAATATATATTTAACAAGATGCAGACTATTCCATCTCTGAATAATGATAGTGCAAAATGTTACACACCATTTTTGGGTGCCTAATGCTATAAAAATGATATTGAAGAGAGATATTTCAACAAACATGTCACAAACCTTCAACTGCCTCGCAAGTTCGAAAGCGTGCAAAACATTAGCAAGCTTCGATTGACCATATGCAGAAAGACTGTTATATCTGTACAGAATAAATATCGGTAATCCTGTTAAATGAAAATGGAAGTAGATTATATGATTCAAGTTTGTAACGATTTTCACCATAATCATAGCATAGCAAACTTGCTCTATATTATATGAGGAGTTTGATTCAACTTTCATCATATTTGAGGTAGTAAGCCAAGGAGTAACAAGGAACTAAACTTCATAGTTAATGCTGTTGATTGATGTCCCTCTGACTCCTCACAATCCTCAAATGAGAACAAACTAATATGTCGCGAAGAAACCGTGCATCAACTTATGCCAGCAGAAAAGGAATTATAGTCAAGATTGATATAGAAAAAGTTACCCTGATCGGTCGTTTATTTTGTCAAATCGGATGCCTTCATGATATGAGAATTGGTGTCGTCGTGACGAAACATTGACAATCCTTCCTTCTCTGTTGCTTTCTGCTGCTGACTTTTTCAAGGTCTCCATCAATAGATTTGTCAAAAGGAAATGTCCTGCAAAAAGAACAAACAAGAAATATAGCACCATAGGTCAACAATGGATGAGACCGTTGATCTCCGTTCATTAATTACAAAAGAGGGAGCAACATTCAGTCATATTCTATTGATGATGTACTTACCCACATGGTTTACAGCAAACTGCAATTCTATGTTGTCCTTTGAGAGTAAGAATGGTGTCGCCATGATTCCTGCATTATTACTGCAGGAAGAAAATAATGTTGCTGTTTAGAAATTAGATCACTGCAAACGGTGCAAATGTTCAGTTTTCCCCACTTTTTGCCTACATTAAATGTATTTTTCAAAATTTTCATGGTGTTTGGTTAGATCGTTAAAAGTGATCTCGAAAATTCTAGAAATGCTAAAAATCAATTTAAACGCTTTTAGAAAAATCAATTACCTTGTGGTTCTTTTAAAAAAATTGCTTATAGAACAGTTGTTTCACTTAAAAGCACTGCTCCATAAAGTTATCAGAGACTCACTACCATACAAGTATGCGACATACACATGAAAGAGATGATTATTGCTTCGTGGACTGAGTCAAAGGACAACTTAAAATTACAGAGAGAAACAAAGAGAAGGTTCTTGGAGTTAGGAAACAGCACAACATAGCTTCAGATTGAAAATGTACTATAGAATCCATATTAGGTCATAAGTTCGCTATCTTACATAAGAATGTTCAGTGGAAGACCTGAAGACTTGAAATTTGATGCAAATTTCCTAACAGATGCCACTGAGCTCAGGTCCAACTCCATGGTATCAACTTTGGCACTTGGGTTTTCTTTGAATATGGCTTCTTGGACATCCCTACCAGTGGCCACATTCCTAACTGCCATTACTACATGTACTCCGCGCAGCGCAAGAACACGAGCAGTTTCGGCGCCAATGCCACTTGATGCACCTGTGTTGATGCACACCATATGACGAGAAAAAGGAACCGCTCAATATGTTCATTCATTCAAGCTCCTTAAAAGTTAAACTTAATTTTCATCATACACTGAAGGCAACTCCAAAAGAGAGGACTAACACACTCATTGCCACCCCACTAACAAGAAACAAGATGAGTCCTAAGATTTCAACAAAACGAAACAAGACATTGAAGAGTACGTAGCAGAAAAAAGATCTGGCCCATTTGTCATATTATTTTATTCAATCAGTGAAACATCCGAACAGAGCATCTCCCAGTAAAAAAAATTATAAAAAACCCAGTAACCCATAAGCAAGCTCTAAGCTAAACAATGGCATTTTTGTCTGAAATCTGCAGGAAAAATCAATCAGAGAACCATAAAATAGAGAGCAAGAGCCCCATCTTATGCCATATTTCTTTTTCTCGAAATCTGATGAGCAGCTGGAATAAGTAACACAAACAAAATTCATAAGAACAAGGGGCATTTTGTTCAATCCAGTTCGAAAATAGAGAAACGAAGAGATTCCTTGATAAACCCAATTCAAGTAATTGTGGAGATTGGAAAATGACCTGTAACAACGGCAGTGAAACCTGCCCCATCGATTCCTTGTGTAACTTCTTCGGCTGTGGAAGAAGCTGAGAACCCAGATGGGCCTTTCCTGCTAAGAACCCACATTCCTCACGCTTCTGGTTTTGGTGGGATTTGTGAAAATTTTAATTGAAAGGAAATTCTAAAACTTCAATTGCTTTGCATGATCACCCAGAATTTCTTTTTACCAAAGGGAGGTTGAGAAAATTTCCCGAGTACGGATATTGTCAACCAAAGTCAGCATCATCTCGACGTGGGCATTGAATAATTGTTCATAAACAAAAAAGGTTAACGGTGAATGAAACCAAAAACAATAATTGTTACAGCTAGCCGCTCAAATAATTGACATATATCTCTATCGAGAGTCCTGAGTTTAAATTCTCTACTCTCCGCTTTTTATTGTACCCAAATAAATAAATATATGTGTGTGTAATATTAATAAAATTGAAAATTTTGAAAAAATCAACATTAGAATTATAAAACAATCATACAAACTTTTCATCAATCACCCCTAGACTTACAAAATGTGTTGTAATTAAATTCTTAAATATTACGAAATGCACATATTTCTCAAATTATAATTTTTTCTACATCCAACCCTCTAGACCTACAAAATGTGTTGTACTTAAATTCTTAAATATTACGAAATGAACAGATTTCTCAAATTATAATTTTTTCTACCATCCAACCCTCGAAGCATAGGATTGCTACAATTAAATCCGAACTTTTTTTTTTGTTTTCTTAAACCGAGATGTTGACTCAACATTAATATGAAACCAAAAATTTTAATGTTTTAGTTTTCAAATTTTATAAGGTTAAAAAATTTGGGTTAAATTATAAAGATCATATAGTTAAGATTTGACTGTACCAATTCTTATAATTAATGGGTGTGGTTGATGCATTTTGTAATATTCAAGGGTTTAAATGTAACAATTTGTACGTGATCGATCAAATTGAAAATTTTGGAGTGTGATTGTAATAACCCCTATGTAATTTAGGAGTGATTTTTATAATTTCCTCGATAAAATATTGATTAAATTACAATTTTAATTCATAAACTTTCAAATTTTTATTTAATAGATAGTTTTTTTTTTGGGGAGGTCTGATAGGTTTTTATTTAACAGAACCCCCTTTTTGTCTTTTTAATAGACCCCTTTTTTTTCCACCATAACATCTTAATATTACCCCATGGTCACAAGAAATCGAAGAACTACTTTTCGATTTTTTAAATAATTTTAATAAAAGAACGAATTTTGAAGTATTGTCAAACAATTTTGAAAGAATCGTACAACTTTCCATCTGAACATATCTCAACTAGTTAAGACATATATCCTCCACCAATAGATTAGAAGTTCAAATCCCCGTCTCAGAGGTTATTCAACTAAACAAAAACAGAAACTTGCAAAACTATCTGTAATTAGTAATCTAAGCTCAAGGATACCGAAAGAAAAACAAAATGATCTCAGAAAAGAAAAAAAGAACCAACTTAAATATCATTTCTCTTTGGCAAACCAGAGGATTATCATAAACTTTATTGCAACTCCACACAAGATACAGACACAACGATGGACCCGAGCATAACTTAAATGGTCAGATATTAATGCAGCTTCCTAAAAACATAGATAGAAATATTACAACAAAATGTACGGAGAAAAAAAGAGTTGGATTACTTGATTAAGTTAGTGGTAAAATCCCAAAGTTTATTAGCCAAGTCAACATCCTGGCCATGTGGACTGGCCTTGTGTAGGTTGCTATTTAGAAAATATTCACCGCTCACCCCCTTCACTTGTGGATGCAATGCCACATAACATGTTGTTGCTGCACCCTGCAAACACAACCATGTCGATAAACAAGAAACCCGAAAATGCATCGCTGGAGAAATATAGGACAAATTATGCTTTTGGTCCCTGAGATTTCGACTGAGTTTCCAATGAAATATTATTTCCAATCAAGGAAAAAAATGTGAAGACATTCTAAGCTGCAATTTTTTTTTTTTTTTGGTTCTAATGATAATATCTCAGCGTTTGTCTCAATAAAGTAGACTCCATAGCATTATGCTCACCTGTTCGACGCTTTTAAATACGAGTTTGCCAACAGTGTTTACTATACCTGCAAGAAACCAAAACTATTTTTAGCGTTAAATCCTCGTGAGTAAGAAGCGTATTTGTTAACATAGAAGCTATGAATTAGAAAAATTCTTCAAAGTTGTCATACAAAATGTGGGATAAAAGATGGTAAATTGAAGGAAGAAAATCATAAGAACATATAGATTTTACGTGAAAAAACCTAATCGAGAAAAACATCTGAACAGAGAAAATTTCAGCACAATTTCATCAATGTAGTAGTAAAAGAATCTGGCATCCATCCATGTGATCCAAGAAATAGAGTTCAGTTCCCTTGCAGTAAACATTTCAAAATGTATAAGCAAATACATTAGCGAAAACATTTGGATTCTTAGCCGAAATTTCAAAAACGAAAACAAGTTATTAAAAACTACTTTTTGATAACAAGACAGGAAACACATGGGTGGAAATAGATCTTAAAAAAGCAGAAAACTAAAAACGTAATGGTTATCAAATGATCTATGTGATTACCATTGCCATAACTGAAGTGGCGGAAAAGATTGGTACGAATTATTCCGGGGTGAAGTGAATTTGCAGTTATGTTTACTCCTTCTTCCTGTAGAAGAACAGAACAATCAATTTAAATGGTTTTCCATAACCATCCTTAGTGAACAAAAACGGAAAGATGAACGAAAATCTTCAAAGAACATTAACGGAAATAAACTCCTGATCTTAGGCCATTCATTGTTTCTTCTTTCTCATTTTTTATTTCTGACTTTCACCATCAACCAAAGAATTTCCCATACCTTGAAACGTCTCGCAAGTTCATTCGCATGCAGAACATTAGATAGCTTTGACTGGCCATAAGCCTGCATTTTATTGTACCTACAACGGAATAATTTGAACTATCAAACAGTTTGTTTTGAAAGGCTTAAGGCGGCCTCGAAGAAAAAGACCATTAAACATCAAACAATTCCAAAAAGAGAGTTCAAGGAATACACTGCCGCTCCTTGAGAGGCACTAGCAAAATATTCTTGTTAATAGCCGATTTGACCCTTCGCCATCTATAGCTATAAACCGAAGCAAGATCTTTTCTAATGCTTTTCTTTCGAGTAAAAATGTCTGACTCTTCCTTCCCTTCCAATGAACTAGGAGAGATCGAATAAACACCTAAGTTTCTGTCAATAATCAGATCAGAAGCTTCCAGAGTTGCAAAAGAGGAAACCCCATTGGATTCCTTATCAGAAGTCGGAAGAGAAGATTAAAATACTTCGTCCTCAAAATCAGAAATTAAATTTCTCTCCTTGATAACCTCAAAAACTAGAATTATTGAATTTCGAAATGCCTCGTTAAAGGCATTCATGAAACTTCAGCCGATTTCTCCAGGCCAGCAAACAACGCAACAAATTTTTTTTTTTTTAATTTCTAAACATTCCTCAGTAATGAAGAATTAATCCAATTTTGCTGGATTCTTCATGCAAGGGGAGACTAAAAGATTTTCATTAGCTTCTACTTTCAAATACTAAGCGAGCAGACCCACCCCATTGAATTCTACTTCAAAAAACTCAACATTAAAATGAAAGACCTTTTTGGCACCTCAAAATTGACTCCATTACACCCATCGATCTCCTTATGACAACTTTGAACCAATCGCCAACGGCAAGCCAACAATTCCTTCATCCCCATACTACTTTTCTCCGGAACTAACCATAAAAGGAGGATCAACCTCCAAAAGAGACCTTTCATTCTCCTTTAGTTCCATAGCTCGCAAACAGTTGAAGGGATTATTAAACCAATCTGATTCCATTATATTCAAAATTTCAGCTCAAAATGAAGAGTTACCAACAATCAAGAAAAGAAATTGAACAGCCACATCCCCAAGAAAAAAATTGAACAGCCACATCGCCGAGAAAAAAAAAATAGTGAACAACCACCAAAGCAGGAATGAATCCACATTGATTCCTCTTAACCTCGATTAGTTCTTCAATTCAAAAAAAATCAACAGATTAATGGTTTCCAACAAAATGCCAGTGAATCCTCCACATTTCTCACCAACGGCTACAGAATTTTCCTTATTCCATAAAACGAGGTAAATTCTTAATTTTAGTCCAGCCATCATCGCACTCAAACCACTCCATCCTTCCATGTTTTTCCGCATTCCATTTTTCAATCTTGACATGCATCCTTCCCAAATTACGCCAATACCCAAGAAAACCTCCGACTACAGAAGCAATGCTATCATCAAAAGAGTGAAGCCTTGAGACTGCAATGATCGTCTGAAAATCCATAGCCACCACATTGTTATCCTTTTTAATCTAAACTTCATTCGAGAAGTGCCATCTTCTTTCATTGAAAAACCCATCCTACAATCTGAAAGTTGGGATCTTGCTAGGCTTCAAATATATATATATATATTAGTAGAATATGTGGGGTGGGGATTTGAACTCAAAACATTTTTGTTGGAGATAGATGTCTTTAACCAATTGCACTACACTCGGTTTGGCCCTGGGCTTCAAATATTAATTAACAAAACCCAACACATAAAATGGCTAGGCCGCCTCTTCTAATACTATGTTAATCTATTCTACTACTAAATCCAAAAATTTAAACTAATAGGTTAGATTATATTTAAGCTTTTATATATATTCTTAAACCATATTTATTCAGGGTAGATTTGGAGATGTCAAATTGAGAATAACAATAACCTAACAAAACTTTAGTGCACACAGAAAAGATGGCAGCAAGCAACAACACCCAAACTGAGTTACTATTCGTTAGTTTCTAGTCTTTAGATAATGCAATGAGTTGAAAGTCAGCTTCCTGTAGGGAGGAGGAAAACAAAGCCCTGCCAAGCACTTAATTCCCAATTCTCAAAGAATGCTTCCTATATCATAAAAACCGATTCCATTCTGATTTCTTATGCTTAAGAAAAATTACCTTGATTCATCGTTAATTTCATCAAACCGGATGCCTTCAGGATACGTGTAACGGTGAGCTTCCGAGGAGACATTTACAATTCTTCCTTCTTTCTCACTTTTAATGGCAGTTTTCTTCATATTTTCCAATAGTAGATCTGTCAAAATAAAATGGCCTGCATGGACTCAGAGTATAAAATCGGGTTAGAGTTAATGGTTGGCCATACATAACAAATTAAGTTCTAGCTAAGGAACTATCCATCAATTCTATTTTTCAAAAATGATTTTGTTTGAATGGAGGAGATCTTGGTTGCTACGAAAATGCGAGATAAAGACAGGGCAAGACAATAACAAGACAGATTTCACATGGAAAACCACGCAAGAAAAAGCTACAGGCAGAGAAGAAGAAACAAATCCACTGTAATGACAGTGGGTACAAGAGTTCCCATGTGGTAGCCACCAATATATCAATAAATCGAAAAACCTATCAAGTTCGGCTTTAACAAATTTGGGTCACCCATATTTAACAATAGTTAATGTCCCGTACATAAACAAAAGTCTTGATGTGCCAATAGTTTCAAGTGTATCTTATAAATATTCTTGCAAGTTCACATGGATTAAAAAATAAAAACTCTCATTATACAAGAAATAATCTATCATATAAGCTACGCACCTAAGTGGTTCGTCGCAAATTGCAGTTCTATGTTATCTTTTGAAAGTCCAAAAGGGACAGCCATTATTCCTGCATTATTACTTCCAACAAAGAAAAGAAAAGAGATGGAAAAAAATTACTAACTTGCATTACATCTTCAAAAGACAGAGAAACAAGTGAACAAAAGAAAAAGGGCTTCATGTTGCTGTAATGCTTATCATTTCTTACATGAGGATGTTAAGTGGAAACTGAGATGACTGGTAATCCGAGGCAAATTTTCTTACAGACACCATTGAGCTGAGATCCAACTCCATGGCATCAATTTTTGCAGAGGGATTCTCCTTGACAATGGCTTCTCTGACATTTCTACCAGCTTCTAAATTCCTAACTCCCATAATGACATGGACTCCACGTAATGCAAGAACACGTGCAGTTTCAAAGCCGATACCGCTCGATGCTCCTATAATATGTGAGCATAAGCAAGAATAAAACACTAATAGTTGCAACTAGCAATGCTTGTTTCAAATAAGTCACGAGCAAAAAATGAAGAAAAAAATACAGCAAACTGCAGAAATGCGTTTCAGCATTCATGTGTTTAGTAATGAAGAGCAAGCCAAGAGAATGGCTATTCAAATGTTAAACTAAACTAATCATTCTTTAGAAAAACACATAGGAAATGAGAAAAAGAAAAAGAAGATCAAGTCAGCAACCTTCACTTCTCTGAGAAAGGAAGTAGGAACCTGAAAACTATGCCTCATATTACTTGGCATTAGTTCGTCTATTTATTTTATCCATCTTTAGGAAATCTGAAGTCAAAAGCCAAACCACCCTGTTTTTTCGTTAAAATCTCCAAAGTTTGCCTTTTGTAATGATTAGGTCTACATATTTTCTTTTGATTTAGCTTTTTTTGTAGTTTAAAAAATGTAATGATTGTCTTTACCGTTAAAATCTCATTATAAATCTAGTCAAGAAACTGGTGGTAAAACAGGCAGAACTACAGTCCAAACTCAAAATTCAAATGAGTTCTAATTACAGTACAGGACACAAATCATTACAAAAAGATATAGAAGTACCAAAAATGTTTCCCGGAGTTGAAGTAGAGAGACTAAAAAAATTTCAAACAATGTTCCAAAAAACTAATACGGATTAATGGTCAGCAAACAGGTTCAAATTCAAAGATTAATGGTCAGCAAAAAGGTTCAAATTCAAACTAATTGATAAAATTAGTTAAACTACAAATTTGGTCCCGAACTTTTAGAGTATTTAGTCTCTGTACTTCAAAAAAATTCCAATGGATACCTGAGTTATGTCTATTTAGTCCCCTATACTTTGAAAAGATTCTAATACATCCTTAACGATCTAATAAGTTATTGTTAGTTTTCTTCAGTTTAACACTTACGCCATCCAAATTAACTACCAAATAATCCTTAAATAATATAGTCATAAACGTTAAACTTAATGAGTTAGACACAAAACTAAAAAGTTCAAGAAATTATATGATTTTTTTTTCTAAAGCACCGACCTGATATACACAACTTCAAAAATCCAAAAACCCATTAGAAATTTGTTAACATTGAGGGACTAAACTTATAATTTATCCAATAAATTTTTCTCTCGGTAACAGGGCAATCGGATTTCCAATAAAAAGTAGTGTCCTCAATCAGTTAGAATCAGCAACATGAAAAAATTCGCAACACAAAACCAGGAAGAAACCGCCGAAATTCGAGACCCAGATCAAATCCAGAGAAAAAAAGAAGAAGAAGAAAGGTTCTGGGCAAATTAAGACCTGTGACAATGGCGGTGAGAGCAGAGCCATCGATTCCTTCAGTAACTTCTTCGGCGGTGGAAGAGGATGAAAATCCAGAGGGCCCTTTTCTTCTGAACAGCCACATTTTGTTGAGATAAAACAAGAGAGGGAGTTTGGAAAGAGAATAATGGAAATCTGCAAAATACAAATCATTTGGGTTGATTGATTCAATATGAACCATGCATTCTGCCACCTCTCTCCTCTCGCCCCCCTTCACTCGTTTGCAAAATTTTCACGTTGCATTACGCAATCACTCATAAATTGAAACAAACTGCTTATGCCATGTTTTGATTGTTGATCCATTTTTCACTTTGAAAAATGAAAACAATGAATATAGAGGAAACAAGGGAAAATGGAGATGGGTTCGGTTCGATGCACTTTAGCTCACTCTCGAAGACGATAAGCTGACATGTTTTTTTTTTTTTTTAATATATAACAAAGATAGGACGTTTTAGTTTGAGATAGATGCTTTAAACTATTAAGTAAAGTTTTTAATTGGAGATAGGTGCTTTAAGCTATTAAGTTAAGTTCAAGTTGGTAGGTGACGTATATTCAAAATTATTTTTAAAAATTTAGGTATTATCAGTCGGTAGGTATTATATTCTTTTAATACATAAATTGAATTGTATGACCTGAACACTCATAGATTCTATCAATATTTTTATTTATGTTTTGAAACGAATTGGAATAGGAAATAAATAACAAAAAACATGTTTACGTTGTTTCCAAAATTTATATAAAGAATGAAAAATAAAAAATATAAATAGTTGTTAAATACTTAGATTTTTTAATAAAACTAAAAACAACAAATGAGAATGTTCTCAAATAATTATTTACTATTATTAAAAAAAATTAACCATCACTGCTGAAATGTCTGCAATAATTGACATATACTTGTTTTCTTGAGACGGGAGGTTTAACCTTCATACTATCGACTTGTTGACTTGTTGTAATCACCTAAGTTTTATCTTTTTTGAAACAAGGACTTTGGAAAAAAAAATTTACTCAGATTTCTCTCACACCCAATTTTTAAAAAAATATTAATATATTAAAAAATTTACTAAATTATTTATAAGAATCAATATATTATTTAAATTAATTATTCAAAATTGTAAATAATATAAATACTATTTTTAAAATATATTTTAATTATCTTTCAAAAATAATTTTAAATAAATATAGAACAAAAAATTTTTTGGTAGAAAAATTAGAATCTTCACTCCAAAAGAGTACCTGTTATTTTATTAAGTTAAGTTTAGTTTAATTGGTTAAGATGTGTATCTCCAACCAAAAAGTTCGTAGGTTCGAATCTCACTCTCTGTTCTCCAACGTTCTTTGTATTAAAAAAAATAAAAATAAATGAATGGTTGGTTGCAAACTATAGTCTATCTTCTAAAAAGTGCAAAAGGACACCAAATATTCCTGCATTATTATTAAATACTTCCAAAAACAACGGTAAAGAAATGAGGAAAAAAAGTTTGCTAACTTGTCTCACATCTCCAATTATATAGCTATATACCTCATGTAAATGAAGAAGAAGCAAGAATAATAGTGAAGTCTTACTTAAAAATATATATATATATATATATAGTGCAGTTCTTCCTTTAAAATCTATGAAATTTTTCAAAAGTAATCTTTCAGAGTTAAAAAGAAATTTTGAATATTATTTGTGTACTGGAAATTTTAGTATACTTATTTCTTATTTATAACTAATTAAATATATTTTAGTACATATGTGAGTTCCACAACCTCGAACTAGACAACTAATTACAAATATATTATTGTACTAATCTTTTTTAATTAAAATACTAAATATTTTTTTATTATAACACTGAGTTTAATATTAACAAATAATAAAAAATTAAAATAAAAATACATTAACACAATAATTTTTTTATTAGAACAACCATCATTTAATATAAAATATTATACCAGTCAAGGAATATTTAGCCCTGCCCGATTTTAGTGACAATGTCTTTGTCAGGGAAATGTTCCGATCAATGCGCCACCTCCCCGGATCAGGACTCGGCCGGCGTCACCAAGGAATCGTGGAGCCAATTCATGTCCAGGCAATTGAGCCACCTTTTGGGTTGGGGTATATACCTACGGAAGAAGATCTCCAAAAATTGTAATTTTATTCTTCTAATATTTAATAATATTCCATTCTATTTCAAAAACATTTATTGATATTTAATAACAAAGTAAAATTAAAATATTGAGTAGAAAATTGAAATGTTTTATAATAAAAAAAAATTAATAAAACTTGTTCGAGACAAGAGATCTTGGAGCACTAGTTACCATATAGTCTTTTGTTCCAGCTTGCAAGGCAAATTCTCCCGGATATCATTCTTTTTCCTAGTAAAACTGTTACCTTTCTTTTTACATTGTTAATTTTGGCCACATAAAGTTTCCCCAAAAATATACAAAATACCATGGGATTAACCCATACCATAAGCGAATTTAATTGAACAATCTTGTCCTTACCACCATTAAATATTTGACAACTAAAAGAAAAATAATTAACAAACGAAGCCAAGTTTTATCCTAAACATAATTCGTGATGACATTTCTAACAAACGAAGCATAAACTTCCTGACACAATTCGTTTCCAAAAATAAAAAACTTACCACACAAGATCTCAAAAGTATTATAAGCATGAACTAACTTGAAGGGGTGAATTCCCTTATTTACCCCTCCTAACATAAGTATTTACTATTGGGGTCTTCCACGTACAAAAATTTGAACACAACTAAGAATTTTATGTTGTTTACAACGTGATTAGCTAACAACTTAACATATACAAAGAAAGAGATTTGATCATTTTATTAAGTTAGTGGTAAAATCCCAGAGTTTGTTAGCCAACTCAACATCTTGACCTCGTACGCTTGCCTTGTTTAGGTTACTATTTACAAAATATTCACCGCTCACTCCCTCCACTTGCGGATGCAATGCCACATAGCATGTTGTTGCTGCACCCTGCAAAATCACTCATCTCAAAATGTCGCTCTAAAATTGTCAACTAGTTAAGATATATCATCGATATCTAAATCCTCACTTGAATTAAATTTTACTTTACGGTTAAGAGTGCATATGCTTCCTAACTTCTCACTGTATATGAAAATTACCGGTTCGTGTTCTCTTCACCGTAATGTATATATGCAAATTGGAATACTAGGCCACGTAATATCGTTTTTAGTTTCTACTTTTTAAAAATGTTTATAGATTTGATTTAGACTATGATGTGTCTCAATATTTGTAAATTTGTGTTAATTTATGACTCTACAGAGAACTCACCTGTTGAAGATTTTTAAATGCGAGTCTGCCGATGGTGTTTGCTATAACTGCAAGAAAATCAAAGACGTTGGATTAGAAATATTATAATTGGAAGATAGCAACAGTAGTATGTATTGCCAGATTATTTTTTTAGAAAGTTCTTATTTGAATTATATTTTATTAGTGTAAATAAGTTATTAGATTGTATCTAAATTGAATTTAATGAAATCTTATTCTCATTTTTCTCTCCTCCTCTCACATTCATAGTTCTTGCCTGCCTTCTTTCCAGAAAGAAGAGGAGAAAATATTGAGGCACATAACTTCTTTTGTTTTGTTTTTTTCTTATTAGTTTAACAAATAAATGGTGAGATTAGAAGCCTCCCGCCTTTAGAGAAATAAACATCGTATAGTTGAGATACATCAAATGTCTTTAAAGGCAGGATTGAATAAAATCACAAAATCTTTATAAATTTTTGTGAAAATTTTGCTCGGGCGAAAAGACCACGAAACAGATGAGTTTTAAGAACAATACATGTAGTGAAAGAATGGTAGAAATACAAACTAGTCCTCGACCTTTTAGATAATTCTCAATTTGGTTCTTAAAGCTTTTAAAATTTTTAAATTTATCCCTAATGTACCAAAAATTTATGTTAGTTAAAATTCGTTAATAAAAAGATGATAGATTATTAAACTATCGTTTTATTAAGTGGAAATGCCACTTAGACACATAAAGTCCAACTTGCAAAAAGTCCATCAACGAAATTTGTCCTTTGATGTCTAAGTGGTCATTTAATGATACATATATTTTTTGTCAACAAATTTTAACATATCTTTTTTTAAGAAGAAATTAATTAAGAAATTTCAATTTACTAAGGTAAAATTAAGATTTTTAAAAGATATTTAATCAAATTGGTAATTACGTAAAAGATTAGTGAAGTTTGATATACCTAGCCTATAACAGATCTACTTCCACATTTGTGAAATAGAGAATTTAGTTTAATCCCAATTATATTTTAAATGTATAAGCAAATACTTTAGCCAATTTATAACCATTTTTGTTCTTTATTTTTTATTTTTTATTAAAATAACTATCGAGTTTCTATTTTTAGCTTATTAAAAAGGCTTTCTAGATTGTAAGTTCAAAAACAAAAAAGAACTAGTTTTTAGAAACAGATTTATGTTTTTCAAAATTTCACTTTTTCTTTTTAATTTTTTTTATTTTCTCTTGGATGTATCTCTGACCTATCTTTTTTATTTTCTCTTTGATATATCTCTCTAACCTTAGGTCATGTCTTCAAAGGGATGGGAATGGAGGATTCCCTCTGATGGTGTTTACCAAATTGAGAATAAAAAGTGTGACCCACCTCAAATTTGGCAATCTCATTCCCTCAAAAAGGGCAATCTCATTCCTTTAAAAAATGTATTCAATCTCATTCTCATTCCTTATTCGATGGTTGCCTTTTTCTCTCCCTTTTTTATTTCCATTCAAATTCCTATTAGTAGGTAAACAGGGCTTAAATTCTTCTCGAATTTTTAATTTTTCTCACGAACTTTTTGCTCTAAAAATCTTAGCTTAAATTTCTTACTAAAAAATTTCTACCTCTATAACTTATTTTCGTTTCTCTAATTTATCTTCTCTCCCTAATATATATTTCACCAACACTTTTTACAAGAAAATTTCTCTATAACTTTTATTGTTTTTGTAATTTATTTTTCTCTTAGCTTTCCTCTCTAAAATCTTCTCTTTCCCTCTCAGAAATTTATCTATTTTTTTCTCAAACTTTTCTCACCTTAATCTTCTCAAGGCTTCTCTCTTTTTCTAACTATTTCTCGCTCTATAAACTCTCTCTAAGTTTTTTTTCTCTATCTCCATATTTACTTTCTCTAAAGTTTCTTCTCATTCTGTAAACATATATTCCTCGAACTAAAAATTACTCCCTATCACTTTTCTTTCCTCTAGATATGTTTTTCTCTAACATATTTGTCACCTTAGCTAACTTTTCTAATTTTTCTCCTACTCTCTCAAAAAAACGACGTTGAAACATATTTAATTTTCTATGTTTCTAAAAAAAACAAAAAATAAGAAAATAGAAAACAAAAAACAAAAAATAGAAAACAGAAAAATCAGAACCAACTAAAAATTAAAATAATTATCAAGCAAGTCATACAAAACTACCTTTGCCAAAAGGGAAGTTGTGCATAATCTTCGTAGGGATCGCTCCAGGGTGAAGTGAATTTGCAGTTATGCTTATCTGTTCTTCCTGTGCAAGAACAAAATCATTAGTTTTGAATGGCTTCCTCCATAACCATCCCTATTGAAAAGTGAAAAAAAAAAAACAAAAACAAAAAAGGAATGACAAATGTAAAAAATTATTTTCAAGAATTTTTTTTTTTAGTTCTGCAGCTGGGAACTCAAACCTTTCCATTATTCAATTGACTTAACGAATATTATCTCCTATTGCGATGATGGGTAGAATTGCCTCCTTATATGAAGATATATATCCCTATCCGATTCTACGAGTTACCTTGGCAACCAAATATAGTAGGATCAAACAATTGTCCCGTGAGATTAGTCAAAATGTGCGCAAGGGACACACACGGATATATATATAAAAAAAAATCCTATCCGATTCTGATGCAGTATGGTGTAATCATAGAATTGACAGAATATTAAGACAATCTACAATATAATTGTGCATTCCTAAAACAATGTTGGAACTCAGTTTATGAGATTAATAAAAAACAAGTTCAATTATAAGTTTAGTTCCCAAAGTTTGGTTAAGATTACTTTTAGTGACGTGATTAATGTAATTCTTCAGTTGACGTCTTCACTTGAAAGTTGAGAAAAGACGAAGACAATTATGTCTATTTTGTTAGGAAATAAAAGTTTGAAAATTTTAGAGATATTTGTGTTGGGGAAATTCACTGGAAGAAAAATGGAAAAGAACCTACATAAAGCTCAGCTCTTACTATTCAAGTAAAAAAAGAATATATATATATATATATGTATGTATATATATATATATGTGTATGTATATATATATATATGTGTATGTATATATATATATATATGTGTATGTATGTATATATATATGTGTATGTATGTGTAGATATATGTGTATGTATGTGTAGATATATGTGTATGTATGTGTAGATATATGTGTATGTATGTGTAGATATATGTGTATGTATGTGTATATATATATATATGTATGTATGTATATATATATGTATGTATATATATATATATGTATGTATATATATATATATGTATGTATATATATATATATATGTATGTAGATGATGAATTTGATGGTTAATAGCAAAGAAATAGCAAGAGGAATGGAAATAAAGAGATCGAACGTTATTAATGTAATAAGAAAAGTCATTGCAAGAGACAAAGTAGAAAGTTAAGGGAGAATGTAAAGAGGCTTGAGGCCAATTACTGTCCTAAGAAAAGTCATTTCAAGAGACAATGTAGAAAGTTAAGGAAGAACGTAAAGAGGCCTGAGGCCAATATAGTTGAACATAATGCCCAAGGATAACACAAGAGCATAAGACCACTCATTAAAATGGGTAATTGACAATGCAACTTCTGTACACGTATTTTTGGATAGAAGGTTGTTCACATCGACCAAGTGATAAGGGGAAATAGAAGAGCTTCCAAGACGAAAGGTACATGAAATGTTTGTTTAAAGATTGTGTTGGGTTTGTAAGGTGATTGCAAACAAAGTCCCACATTGACTAGGGAAGGGAATAATCATAGGTATATAAAAGAGGACAATTATCTCCATTGGTATGAGGCCTTTTGGGTAAAACCAAAAGCAAAGCCGTGAGAGCTATGTCCAAAGCGGACAATATCAACTTGAATGCAATGGTCAACCCAATAGCAAGAACTTCCTTATTGATATTATTTTTAATTGGTTCTTCACTTTCACTATTATGGACCAAGATTATTGATTGATTTTATGGACCAAAATTATTGATTGATTTACTTAGCCTACACCTATATTCTAACTCCCCGTTAGACCACATCGAATTTAACCATCTTTTTTCCATATAGCTTTCTTGCACCTATTTACATGAAAATACAATAGTCATTCGATAAAAAAAATCAAAGGAATCCTTGAATGTCATCACTTAGTTTGAATGAGAGTACATAGACATGTCGGGAGACAAGTCCATATAGGTAACCCAACCTCGAGGCAAATACAAATGGAAACAATTGATTACTGATATTTTGTTTTTTTTTTTTCAAGTTGGCTAAATTTGCAAAAGAAACTTTGGAGTTTCATCAGATAATGTTGCAAGAAGAAACGTGGAGCTCACCAAGAAATAAGATGTTGTAGTCGGAGTAAGTCGTCGGAGTAAAAGATTAGACTTACGAGCTTACCAAGAAGATCAAAGATGGTTGTGGCAATAGAAGGTGAGATCCATATTTTGTCTCAAAGTGGGAGATTATAAGAATTGTAGAGCCAAACCAATATTGCAAAGCCAACATATTCGAGAGGACAACATCAAGATGCTAATCAAAGCATCACGACACTGGCACAAAGCAAAGAAAAATCATGTTACATTTCTGTAACAATGAGACAAGACATTGAAGCCAACATATTCGAGAGGACAACATCAAGATGCTAATCAAAGCATCACGACACTGGCACAAAGCAAAGAAAAATCATGTTACATTTCTGTAACAATGAGACAAGACATTGAGGGTAGCGTCTCAGTGCTACCACAAGACCCTAAGAAGAAAAGGAAGAGTCGAGCACACGACGCTGAGACGTTGCAACAATTTTATATAAAATTCGTAGCTTTTTTATGGGTTTTTTTTACCGAAGTGAAAAGAGTGGCATGCAATAGCAAGTGATTGACGACCGTAAGACTTTAGTGAATTCAGCCCATTCTTATTGATTTAGCAAGGATATTTAGTATAGAAGTCTAAATATCATTGTTGTGGTACCTTGAGAGTTTTGTAAAACACGTGAGAGAGGTCCATTGTAATCTTCATATCATTATAGAATCTACAGTTGCAGAAGACTGGATGTAGTCCCATACATGAAGTGCTTTTTCATCCCTTTCTTGTATTTCTTCTTTTATTATTACTAAAATAAAGGATTAAATTTACCATAACCCATCACCTTTTAAGTTTTTGGATTTAGTGATAATTTAACCTTATTGGATTTAGTGATAATTTAACCTTATGATTTGTAAATCCAACAAATCCAACGGTGTAAAAGTAAAATTATCCGCCACATTGTGGCTACCTCCTCCAATAATTTTCCCTTCCTCTCCCTTCCTCTCCCTTGCCCTCAAGATCACCCCTCTCAATCTCCCATTTCTCGATCTCTCCCCTCACTCTCGATTACCTACCACCACCAATCAGGGAAATATGGTGGAGACTGATCTCATCGTCCCACCCTCCTCATTACCTCCCCAGTCCTAATTACTAAAGTTGTGCGGACATTGCACTCTCTTTCCCTGCAAAATTGTGTCGCTCTCATCTCTCAGCCCCTCACAACCCTTGCCATCAGTGTTGCCAAGTAATAAAACTCAAAAGATCGATTAAAAGTCGAACCGAACCATCTGGACCCAAAACCGACCAGATCGATTTTTAACCTAATTGAGGAAAATTTTCTTCTTCTCAGTTTAAAACATTTCAGAATCGAATGATTCAGCATCAATTTTTTACTAAATCGAACCAAACCGAACTAATTCGTATACACCCCTACAGAATATTTTTAAAAACAAATTTAATATCTAAAGTGAAACATTAAAAGGAAACATATAACTCATAACTCAGCAGTTAAGGTGTTTTGCACATTCTCTAGAGATCGGAAATTCAACCTCCCGTCTTCCCCGTTTATTGTACTAAAAAAGACAACACAATTCATTGTGAGTTAAATTTCCGTCGACATTTCCAACATTCCCTTTGACATTTTCATATGTGAGGGAGAAAATCAACATGCCATAAGTGATCTTTTCTATTTTCAAAAAAATTTGTCCTAAACATCAAACATTTCCCTCACCACACCATGTCCATTATTAACAATACTTAGCTACTTACCAATCAAGACTCATCCTCATGCTAACCACCAAATAAGTTTGACAATTTTTTTTTATTTTTGGAGAAACAATAAAAATATCCTCGCGCTAACCACCTAATAAGTTTGACAATTTTTTTTATTTTTGGAGAAACAATAAAAATATCTATTTTTCTAGATTGCTCTCTGATACTTGTAAAAAATTGAATGTTAACCTAAGTATTTTTCATTTTTTATTACCTTCATTTTCTGGTGTGAAGTGAGCTTTTTAATCTAGAGAATGGTCTAGTTATTTCAACCTTTTTTAGAAGCGTGTCTATAACATGTCATAAGTTTGTCCCTCCAATTCCATTAATTTTGGATTTTTATATGTCGTTGAATTTTCAATTTTTAGACACTATTTAAAGTTAAAACGCATATTAGATACAAAATTAAATATTTAAGATCTACAACTTGTTAGACAGACCTGTTAGGACAGACATTAGAGAATGCAAGTCCTCGTACCTTGAAACGTCTTGCAAGCTCATTGGCATGTAAAATATTTGCAAGCTTTGATTGGCCATAAGCACGAAATTTACTGTACCTACCATGAGTAAATTTGAACTATCAAACTTTTACATGAGTAAGTGTTAGTAAGGCTATGTCTAGGAGTGCTGATGGTAAAAGCACTCTTTCGATGTTAAAAATATTTTTTTCCTTAAAATTGTTAGTTTATGAGTAAGAGCATGAAAGCACTTTTGTGAGAAAGTATTTGTAAAACAATTTTTACATAAGTGCATGAACAGAAAATACTTCGAACCCAATTTTAAAATTGTAGAACCACCTTTTACGCCTTATAATTTGAAGTATTTTTACCAAAAGCAAAGAGCTAAAAGTCAGGAAACTCAGGATCTACAAGGTAATTTCTATAAGCTTCCTATATCATAAAAGTAGGTGCGTTCCATCTTAGTTTCTATAAGCTTAAAAATAATTACCTTGACTGATCATTAATCCCGTCAAATAGAATGCCTTCAGGATATGTGGCACGGTGAGCTTCTGAAGAGACATTTACGATTCGTACTTCTTTTTTATTATCAATGGCAGTTCTCTTCATATTTTCCAACAACAAATTTGTCAAGAGAAAATGACCTGGAAAGACTCGAAAGGGTAAAATCATGTTAGAGTTGGTAATTCTATTTTAATAAACGGTTTTGTTTGAATTGGGGAGATCTTAGTTATGAAAAAGGCAAAATAAAGGAAGAGAACCACCACTAAACAAAATTTACATGAAAATTCATACAACGAAAAAACATAGGAAAAGAAGAAGAAAGAAATCTATTGTAATGAAAATCGCAGCTGCCAATATATCCCTACACTATCAAAAAATCCTAACCTCCTAAAATTTAGGAAAAGACCTAACTTGCAATCTTAGTATAGTTCAACTAATTAAGTGGACACCTTAGTTTGAGTAAGGTGATCGTATTAGACACGTGCCAGATACTCCAACATTTATTGGAGATGTATCGATATTTTAGCTCAATAAATGTGTATCAAAACAATAATTGTACATAATGAATATTGATCCAACACTTGTTAGGCATAAGATCCAAGAATGCGAAGATAAGGGTACAATTTAAGGGAGGGCAGATAACCACTTTTTAAGCATAAGAAATAGACATAAATAGTAATATGAAACAGACTAATAAATTTTAAGAGCAAAATACATCCTACTCCGTGTTTTTAAGTCTAAAAATGCATAAATTTATTGACTTTCAATTTTCTAATATAAAAAGTATATATACTTAAAAAAAATTGCATATTTTTGTGTCCTAGATTTTTAGAAAATGACGTGTCACCGTGTCCGTGTTGTATCATATCCACGTCTCGTGTATCCCAACTTCTCAGCGTCGGAGATTCAAATCCTCACCCTACATTTTGTTGTACTTAAAAAAGCCCTAGCTTCATTGCCTAGCTTGATCCCTCAATTGTCACAACACCTCAATTCTTTTGGCCTTTTAAAGTTGGGCCATAAAATATTTGAGTCACCCACATCTAACATCAGGAAAGATATGTAGTTATAATCCCCGTTTATAGATGAAAGTCTTCAAGAATCCATTGTTTCATGTGTATCCTAAATCTTCTTGCAAGTTCACATAAATTAAAAGCTTTCACAAGTTCACATAAATTAAAAGCTTTCATTATGCAAGAAATAATCTAGTATGTAAGCTACATACCTAAGTGATTCGTTGCAAACTGCAGTTCTATGTTCTCTTTCGAAAGTCCAAAAGGGGTACCAAATATTCCTGCATTATTACTTCCAACGATACAGTAAAGGAATTAGAAAAGTATTGCTAAATTGCCTCACATCTTCAACTAAATAGCTAATACCAGGACATGAAAATGAGGAACTAGCAAGAATAAAGAGTGGGTTTGGAATGAGTTTTGGAATGAGTGAGACACTCACTCTAAAACCCTAAGAAACACTATAATTCACTCCTATGGGACATTTGTTAACTCAATAAATATGTGTCACACACTGTAAATATAGATCCGACACTTGTTAGACACTTATAATATAGATCCGACACTTGTTAGACACTTATAAAATATTCGTTAAGCATAAAAAATAGACAAAAATAGTAATATTGGACAAAAATAGATTTTGAGAGCAAAATACATCAGACTCGTTTTTTAACATAAAAATGCATATAGTGACTTTAAATTTTCCTTCTGATATAAAAATGATACTTAAAAAAATAATGTATATTTTAATAAACGTGTCATTTTTGTGTCCGTTCACTAGATTTTTAAGAAATGACGTATCACCGTATCTTTGTCGTGTCAAATCCGTATTGGGTGTCTATATCCGTGCTTCTTAGTCTAAAATCTATGACTTAGTCTAAAATCTATGAAAATTTTGAGACATATTAACAGGTTAAAAAGCACTTGTCACCAAAAGTCATACATACCACAGTCACCTTCATAAGCAACACGTCTATGAAAGACGGAGAGAATCTAGTGAGCTAAAAACAAAGTCCATTTCTTACATGAGGATGTTAAGTGGAAACCCAGACGACCGATAATCTGAGGCAAATTTTCTTATAGACACCATCGAGCTAAGATCCAACTCCATGACATCAACCTTTGCAGAGGGATTCTCCTTGACAATGGCTTCTCTAACACCTCTACCAGCATCTAAGTTCCTAACAGCCATAATGACATGGACTCCGCGTAATGCAAGAACGCGCGCAGTTTCAGAGCCGATACCGTTCGATGCTCCTGTAAGAATATAGAAGCATAAGCAAGAACAAAAAACTAGTAACTGCAACTAAACAATGCTTGGTTACAATAAGTCATGAGCAAAAAGAAGAGATACAGCAAACTGCAGATATGTGGTTTCAGCACTATTGTGTTTAGTAATGAAGATCAAGCCAAGAGAATGGTTAATCAAATGGTGAACTAAAACCTGTTATTTTAAAATTACATAAAAAATCAAAGAAAAAGCATACTTTTCAATAACTAATTACACATTATGATTTAGAAACACATTCAAAAACAAACAATAAGAGCGAGTTGGAAACCTGTTATGCATTTCTCATTTAATAACTTTTCCTTTTTGGTTTCCTATTTTTAAAAGATTAAAATACTATTTTCTAATGTCAGTATTAGTTCATTTTAAGACTGTATTTAAAAATGTTCATTTTGATCCGGTTTTAAAACAAAATTTTTAAAATTTTATAGTATAAAGTAACGTTTATATTTTAAAAAATATATTAATTACAAGATAAAAAAATTATATTAAAAATAAAATTAATGAACCAAAATATTGCCAATTAATGTTGATCGAGAAACTGAGAGTAAAACAGGCAGAACTACTACAGTCCAAGCTCAAGATCCCAATGTTTTCTATTCTAATCATATATCCGTCCACAGTCATGGCGAGAACAGGAAATAAATGAATACAGAAACAAAAAGATATAGAAGTACCAAAACTAAATTCTAAAACCATTTCCGATGGTTCAAATTCAGAGGAACAGATAAAATTTCATGTTTCAGCAAATACAGAACTAAAAACGAAGTAAAAGAGAAGAAGAAGAAAGTGTTTTAGGTAAATGAAGACCTGTGACAATGGCGGTGAGAGCGGAGCCATCGATTCCGTCAGTAACTTCCTCGGCTGTGGAAGAGTATGAAAATCCAGAGGGCCCTTTGCTTCTCAAAAACCACATTTCGACGGAATTTTAAAACCCGCTCCGTATTCTGCAATTTCTTATGCTTTTAATTTCGGTTTAATTTTCTTTTATTATTTTTTTCTTTTCCTAGCAACCATGCATTCTGCCACCTCCTCCGTCGCCTCCTTGACTCGTGTTACACGTGTGCAATCACCTGCCACGCCTTTGCTGACTATTGTTTGAATTTGTAAGTATACAAATGATGTCTCCACAAGAAAGGATAGATTACTTAATACCAAATTTTCTACTTCAACTCCATATCAATATGGAAAGTTTAATAGACTGTAGGTAAAGAAATCATTTAAATTAATTTAAGAAACAACGCAACTATTCACGCGATAATCTTTCTTAAGCAATAACAACTTCATCGATGTTACTCATAAAATTTTAATCGAAATTTTTCTAAATCAAGATGGTCGGTGGATTCTACTTTATTGACTCGATATTTTTTTAAGTAATGACGACATTTTTTTCGAAAAGTAGGGTATCTATGTCTCTACAACGGCTTCCACAATTCAAATAATTATAATTAAGCACGTAGAATCCAAAAATATCATAAAATTTATAAGAATGTGTCTGGTTAATAATTTTGTTTCTCAACCTTGATTTACGACAAAGAATTAATGTAAAGATTGGTCAAATTCAAAGAGTGCATTTAGAGTAGAAAAATTCTCACAACCAACAGAAATTTATGAGAGAAATCGACTAAAAATAGAAGAGTAAAGTTAGATAAATGGCTACATCATCAATGCTTTATAAAATAAACTATTTAACTAATACTTGAATCCAGAAAGAATTGGAAGGAGGTAGAGTAAGAAAAGAGAATGAAGAAGGGAGAAAACAAATCCGACGATCTCTTGAATCTTCGTTCTTCGAGCTCCTTCCATTTCTCTCAAAATCTTCAACTTTGTCTATCTTTTGATTCCAAAATCCCTCTTTTTTCCTCTATCCTGCGACTAGGGCTAAAATAAGAAAACTAAAAYCCGTCACGCAAGTACTTAGACATTGTGATGATCAGCGCTTCGCGTCGTAGTACTTAGGTGTTAGGTCTTTTTTCCTTACTGTTGTTGCTCTGAGAGAATCTTCAAAATAAACTTTAAAAACCAATCTTCCGTTATCTACAAAATAAATAAAAAAAGAATGAATTAACATCACTGAAGTTAAAAGAAAACTAATTGAAATTAGACATAAGAGTAAGCATAAAATACATTCATCATTGACCCTTTCCCTCCTCCCAAACTTGAAAGATTCGTTCCATATCAAATCAACAACCTCGTTCATTCTTAGAACGAACGAATTGTTCATTTCAAATATGGAACAATTCCAAATCAAGCGAACACATTCATTCCAAATGTGGAAGGAGAGTCAGCATGGGGTGGTGATGGGAAGCAACGCAACAGCAAGGTCTACCATAGAAGAAAAGAGAAGAGACAAGAAGGAGATGATAATGTCATTAGTCTAATCAGCAAAAATAATAATAATAATTGCATATTTTTTGTTGGAAAAACCTTCTGATATGAAATCTTAGCGAATTGAAATTAGAAATCGTTTGGGTATGTGAACCCCTAACATTCCCATGAAAAGAATGAGATAGAAGGATTAGATTGCTTATGGAAGACTAATGAAACATAACTTCAAGGAGAACCTAGATTAAGAATTTCAAAACGATGAACTCTTAGTCATCATACTAAACATAGCCAAAATTTATTCTGTAACTAATCCGTCAAACAATAAAATGATAAGGCTAACATATTTGTGGTATTGAACAAGTGATCCAACTCCTCTAAACTCGAAAAAGCAAGGATTAAGTTCTATTAAGTTTTCAATTGTTCCTTGTTGTTTTCAATTTCCTGTTTAATTCTCTAGATGGTTAAAAATGGACTTGAATTCAGTTTTCATCGTATTACATTCTTTTCAACCTGAGCTAAATTCCTTAAATCTAGCCTTTCTATACTTAGTTTTATTTTTACACAATTTCAAGGGTGAACGGTATATTTTTTATTTGATTGCTCAATTGGATTCACAAAATTAATTGATGCTTAATTTGGCCGATTAAGAGAAATGGACTAATCTTGACTTGATTCTACAAAGGTTAGATTAGATAACTTAAAAATTCAGTTGAATAACTCATTGAAAAGGTTACTTCAGAGATAGAGAACCTAATTAATAAGCCTAAACATAGAATCTAATCATTGATTATGAAAGCTTAGTGTTCAGATTATTAATATACATGTTGATACCACTACAAGGAAAATGAGCTTCAGCGACGAAAACTCATTTCGTCGCATTTTTAAGCGACGATTTCTGTTTTCATTACTGCGTATGCAACGAAAGATGTTATGTCGCCCTTAATGCGACGAAAAATGTTTCGTCGCCGAAGCACATTTTTCTTGTAGTGTACGTACCTAACCTTAATCCTTTAGATCACTTAGACATAAGTTGATTTAGAAGTAAAATTAGTGCAAAATTTACCAATGTGTCCAGTGCACCTTGTGATCTATTAAACTTACTAAGTTGAAGTAGGGAGACTTATTTATCTTGAAGTAAAAATCATTTCAAACTCAATATTATTATTTATTTCCACAACACCGATTGCTCATTCAAGCATTTCACTATTATTTTCAAATAAAAAGTTCAAGTCCCTGTGGAAATGATCTCATAATATTGTTATCAAATTATTATTTGTGATAGTGTGCACTTGCACTCGAGCTTTTCTTATTAAACAGATAGGCAACATCTTTGCTGTTTCAAATGTGGTAGTACTTGTTCCTCACAAATTTTCTCCTTTCGAGTAGACTCTACTGATTTTTGGATAATAAATTTAGGTGCATCAAGTAATATATGTCATGTTAAGGATATGTTTCGTAACTTCCATCGAGTATAGAATACATCCATTATTCTACCTATGCTTTCTCGTGTTCTTGTTGAGTTTGCTGTGATGTTATTTTCTTGCTTCGGAATGTCTTAATCGTGCCTCAATTTACTTACAATTTTGTTCTTATATGTTAGCTCTCTACTTTTGATGATTACTTTGTTGATTTCTTTAGTGATTTTTACCTTATCCAAGATAAGTCACAATTGAGAACGATCGGTAAGGCCAATTGTTTGAATGATCTGTATTTACTCTCTATGACATTTGTTACTTTTACTAATATTACTGCTGTTATTAGTAAGGCCTCAACCACTATTTTGGCATCCTGTTTTATTTAATGGGTCTCTAAACCTTTAAAATTTATATTTAAATAAATCTTTAAAATTTAATATGTGTTTAGACATACTCTTAAACTTTCACTTTTTGCATATCCTAAATCTTTAAATTGTCAAATTTATATCTAAAAATTAATCTAATCAACATGCTTTAATACTTTTAGTAGACTTTTTAGTTACAAAATTGAGTACAAACAGAGATTGGTTAGACAATTTTTAAAGATTTTGGATTAAACTTTTGAAAATTTGAGAAATTAAATTTGTAATTCCAAAATGATGCCACGTCCCCTAGTTTTGGTCTGCCCAGAAAAAAGGATCTCATCTCATTTTTCTCCTGACCAACGACAGTACCCATTCTCACAAATCTCAACCACGTGTTCGTTTCCACCAACCTGACGCCGCCACGTCCCCACCGTCACCCTCGATCCCTCACAGCCGGCCACTTGGCTATTTCCCCCACCACACTCTCTTTAAACTCCCCTCCTTCAACCTCCTCCTTCTGAACCCCTCTCTCTCTCTGACTCTGTAATTTCTCTCTCTCTAGAAAATAAAAATGTCCGGCGGGGTGGGCCCTACCTGCAGCGACATCAGCCTCCCGAGCGAACAGGAGACCCTCCACAAGGAGATCTGCGACCGAAAGTCCGGCGCCGTCGTCCATGGCGGCGCGCGGAGGAAGCCGGCGGCGGCGTTCCTGTCTTTCCGGCAGCTGAACGCGCTGGCGGTGGTGGTGATATTCTCGGCGAGCGGGATGGTGTGCGCGGAAGACTTGGCCTTCGTCCTCTTCTCCGTTGCTTACATGTACTTCATCTCGAGAGTGGCGTTCCCGGCGAGTGGCGGAGGGGAGGACGGAGGCGTGTTCAGCCCCGGCCAGAGCAAGGTGCTCCGGCTGTACGTGATGCTGGCGGCGGCGATCGGGCTGTTCCTTCCGATCGGGTACATTCTAGAAGGATTCTTCGAGGACGATAAAGAAGGGATTAAAGCCGCTTCTCCCCATGTTTTTCTTCTCGCCAGCCAGGTTTCTCATAAAACCAACATTTCATATTTTTAAACTATAAATAAAATCAAATTAAACCGTTTATTTCAGTAATATTTCATCCACTCGAAATTGGAACGAAAATAAGTCGGAATGAAAATGTTATTTATTACTTTTATTTTAATAATCTATTCAATATAATGCCAAATCGATAATTTGCATATATAATTAGTTTTATAAAGTATTATTACTATTCTTAATTACAATGAATCCTATTTTAACAAATTTATAGTAAAATTAAACAAGTGATAATCATTGGTTTGTGGAATTATTAGTTTTTGGTTATTTAATTTTATTAGTCGATTTTAGAATTAATCAATTGTTTTTATTGCAAGACAGAAAACAATAACTGCCTTAAAATTGTGATGTATGATGGGTTGGGACCAAGCTAAATATGATTTAGAGAGTAGGGTTCAGATTTCATGGCTAGCTATCTATCTATCTTGTAATTAATTTCTTACGTTATTCTTTAGCAATTAATTAGTCCCAATTATGAAAACATAAATTTTAATTTCTCTCTCGTATATTCAATGGTGTACAACAATTGGTATTAGTCCCATTGTTTCAATATATTTGATGTGCCATGGTATCCAAATCTATCTGCTGTGCATCAGCTAATTAATCTTTTATGGTTATTCTCACCAAGGTTTTCATGGAAGGCGTGGCAAACAACGACAGATTCTCGACGCCGATCCGCGTGTTCGTACCGGTGTTCTACAACTCGAGGAGGATCTTCACCATAGCGGAGTGGCTGCGGGACGAGTTCGCGAAGGAAGACAAAGAGTTCAGCGGGTCTGTGCGGCGGCTGCTGGTCGGAAGAGCGCTCGCGGTGGCRAACATGGCGCTTTGGAGCTTCAATCTCTTCGGGTTCTTGTTGCCTGTGTATCTCCCAAGAGCTCTCAACAGGTACTATAATTCTCTGCACAAGTCCAAAGATCATTGAGGGATCAGGACAAGAAGACCATGTTTGGTTCTTATTCACAAAATACTTATTAACCCATAGCAATATGTTTGAATAGTTTGGAGTAATTTTATTTGTAATGGGAGTTTTACTTGCAAGTTTCTAGCTTTACTGCTTAGTTAATTAGATCATGTGTCCATGTAATATGGATAATTATCGATGGAAAAGAAAAGTTCCTCGTTCAAATGTAGGGTTTTAATTTCCAACCTCTATGAAAGAGTAAATATGTCATTTATATATCACTAAGCTATTTTCATATTTCGTCTCAGTTCTTTAATAAGTTCTTTAATAAATTTTAATACTGTATCTGCTTTTTAATAAGTTTTGATATTGTGTAGGCCGTTATTAGAATGTCTATACTAATAGGAGCATATCATCGATGTTTGAAATTTCCTTTATTTTTTCCAAGAGAGGTTTATTAATTTAATTCCAAGGGCTATATGGATACTTTGATTGTAATATGATCGGGTGATTGAGTTACTTAACAGTTTTTAAACTTCTTAGTTGGATGTTCTATATATTGAATACAAAATTGGTTTCTTGTATTAGGACAATTTTGAAATTACATTAAAAGCTCTTGGAGAAAAGAGAATTTTCTACTTTCTTGTTTTGGTATAAGTTAGTTTTACTAGAATTATTGAAGTTAAAATTGGAAAGTTATGGCTAAAAAAAATGTGAAAGACAAATTTCATACGTGGTAAACAATGAGAGTATACATGGATCAACGAACAAATTTTAGAGTACCATGTGGTATATGATGAGGTGGATGACTCGATATCTTAACAATCAATACTTTATGATTATGACGTGATATATATTTGAATCATAAAATTGTGTTTACATAGAAGTTGGTAGAAGTTGACGTGTTTGAGGATGTGTTTGGGAGTAATTTTGAGGACAAAAATTATTTTTGTCATGTCAAAATCACCATTGATCATATTTGGTAAATTAAAAAATTGATATTAAAAAAAAGCTTAAAATCACTTTAAATTAAATTTTAAGGTATCATTTGGATGGTGGTTTTGAAAAAAACAATTATACTTAAATCTTTTTTTTAAATCACTACTAATTATACTGTCACTTCCAAACACACAATTGATGTGGCGAATAGACAAATCATAATATGACATATTTTAGATTCATTTAATGAACTTGTCAAGACACACAAAGTAATGGACGTTAGATTAAATGAATAAAAGGGGGAAAACAATTTTGACAATGTTGGAAAGCATCCCTTAACGTCCATGCACTTGTGTTCAGAATTTTTTTTTCTAAGTACATGAGGGGACGAAGATTTGAACTCTTGAAAAGAAAACTAGTAGTAAGGCCAATACCCAATTAATTAAGTTCTTAGTCAAAATGTATTTTGGGGTGTGTTTGGGAATGCTTTTACAAAAATCACTTTTGATCACTGTAAAAAACACTCCGATTTGTATTTATCATGTTGGAAAAAAAAATGATTTTAGGGAAGTTTAAAATTACGTTAAATTGATTTTTAAGGTATCACTTAGCATGATTTCGAAAAAACAATTATTCTTAAAAAAAAATTCAAAATTATTAATTCTACCACCACTCTCAAGATACCATGAAAATCTCTATTGTTACACCCTATGAACATCCCTATTATTACATGATGTCATCTGGAACCCAATAAAGCATGGAGTCAATGATCTCTAAATTATCAATCATTCACGATTCATTTTTCCTTCATCAACATCTCATTCCTTCTTCACTTCGATCCATAGAACACGATTTTGGTGAAAATTCATTTTCACTTATGATTTCTAGACTTAAATTCTAAACTTCTAGAGAACCATTCTCCATCATCATCGTGGTTTTCTGCTTTTTCTATTAATATTTATGAATGCTTTTTCCTTTTTCTATTAATATTTATGGAAAGGTACCATCTGATTAAATTTTCTTAACAATATATTTAATTTAAAATTTTAATGCTAAATTAGTTAAATTGATTTTTTTAAGATTTTGTTTTTAAATATGTTGTTAATTTTTTTTTTAATACTGAGGAACGTGGGACATAGAAGATTTTTTGAAAAAAGGATTTATAATATGTGGCACAAACGCAGATACCAAGTGGATTTTTAAAGAGACCACATGATCCCATTTGACCTGGTCCTGATAATTTTTAAGCATTATTTATAGAACAAGTCGAGTAAAAATAATATTTTAAAAATAAGTTAAAAAATCATTAACGGACCTATCGATTTATGAAAAATAAAATATTAATGTTCAAAATGATTTTTTTGAAAATTTAATCAACGACCCTACCGAAAATAGATGGTTGGTTTGGTGGCCGATTTGGTTGATTTAGTTAATGATCAATTATATTTTGATTCTCTTCAATTAATACATTTATCAACATCAAAATTACATATGTGCTTGGGGTTATATTCTAATAAGTAATTTAGTTTCAATTTAAAATAATATTTTTAAAGTTAATATTATTACTATCAGGTAAAAACCAAAAGTAAGTGTTGTTAGCTTGGTTGAGTCGCGAGGACTGGTCTAGAAACCAACTCAACATAGTCGCACGAATTGAGATACCATGGTCGAGCACTCCTTAAGAATATTATATGATGGACAACAGGTGTCGATACCCAATGCCGAAACCTTTTGCGTGCTTCTAAAGACCACACAGGAGTTGTCGAGCCACCTACCTATGATGCAGTAGGAGACAAATGATGTTGGTGGCCCCCACAAATTCCTGGACATACCTCTCCCCCTGCAGATGCCCAAGAGAGTGGAGACATCCCTCTCAAACCGTCTTCATTTCATATATAAAGAAATAGGCTACCCAAGCAAAGGTAAACCGTATTTCCCCAGAGGATTCAAACACCTATCCTATGACAAACTCTTACCCTCAAGATTCTTGTGTGTTCAGTTACTATAGATGAAGCGCATATATGGCACTTGAACGAGACCTACGTGGACTTGACCTAGAAATCAGCATCGACAATTATAGTTTTCAATTTTTATGTAATAAAATTTGTTTGGTTAAATTAGAGTAATTTTACCCTTCGATCCTTATGCTTTAAGAGTAGTTTGTACCATACTATGTTATAATGGTTGATTTTAATTGCAACAATTTTATAAGTTTAGAAGAGTGATTAATTAAATTGAAAATAGATCCAGAAGAGTGATGAATCAAATTGAAAATTCATAGATCTATGGTAACAATCCCTAACTACGTGGTGGTTTATGCAATTTCCTTAAATTTTCATATACATTGTTTGAATTTTACTTTCAATATTGATAATTTATGAATATACTATATGGTGTATATGGTGATAATTAAAATGAAAAGTATTGAAAACAAAAATAAAAATAGAAATCCAACTTGAGAATAGAACTCATTAAGACATCTATATCTAACTGAAAGTGGGTGAGTTTTAATCTCCACAGTTTTGTACTAAATAATAGTTTTTTTACCTAAATAGAAAAAGAAAAAAAAAACAGAGAAAGGTAATTAAAAACAGATTTTGTTTTTCTCGAAAACAAAAACTCAAGAGGTATTTATAGTGTGAAAAAAAAACTAGAAAATTATTTTTAAAACACAGAAAAAAAGTTTTTTAAAACGGAAAAAGCAGAAACTTAAAAAAAAGAAAAGAAAAACAGAAAAACAACATAAGAGAAAAACAGAAAAAAAAATTTGCATAAGAACTCAAAGGACATAATATAAAAACAAATCTTAAAAAAACAATAAAAAAAGCATAGAATTTTTTTTTTGAAATAAAAAAAACATAGAAATAAAACATATAGAGAAAACAGAAAAAAAAAATACACACACGACATAAAAAAACATGTAACTAAACAGGCAGTTTATTTTTCTAAAAAGCATTAAAAGTTTAATACATACATATATATAGCATACAAAAGGTTTAGACTAATAAACGAACGAACGAAGAAAAAAACTGATAAGGGAAAAGATATCATAAAGTACGATAATTAAATAATATAAGAACATATATCGTAGGAATATTTTTACATGTATAGGCAACCTTAGCTAAAGGGTTAAAACATCTTACTCTTTCTTTGAAAGTTAGACATTCAATTTGTGGATTGTACGTCTTCTCTCGAAGTTGAAGGTTCAAATCTTCACCACATATTTATTGTACTAAAAATAGTATATGAACCTATGAAAATGTTTGTAAACTTTTAAAATCATAAAATTGCTAAGGGTTGAAATCGATGTTTTAAATATGGATGCCGATAAAATATATAAGTTTCAATTTTTTGAAAATATTGATGAAAATATTGACATTGATAAATATTTATAAACAAATTATTAAAATAAAAAATTAATAACAAATATTTAAATTAACACATAAATATTCCACAAATTCTAAATAAGTTAAAAATTATTATTACAGTTCATATTAATGATATTTTGTTGACATCGTTTATATCTTGTTGATTATTTTGTGGTATTATAGAGATGCGATTCATCCCACGAGTCAATATTGAACTCGCGAATATTAGGAAATTTTGATATGTCTGCAAAAATTGCAAAAATTTAATATCATGAAACAAATCAAAATATAACTCAATATATAAAATAGCTATTTCTATTTGAAAGTCAATGATTTGCTTGCCAAGACATAGTTAATTCGTTAGGACCTCTAACCAAAAGTTGTTGATCTGAATCCCGACCTACTAAAAAAAAGTTGATGATTCCATCTCGAGCTAAAAAAAAGAAAAAAAAGAAAAAGAGAAATTGGTGAGTGTTGAAGGCCCACGAAGCAAGCAGCCCATAAGAACATTCCGGCGAGGACAAGTCTGATGGGGCTGCTTCGTCTTCCACCCGAAACCCTAACTACCATCACGTGCGGCGGCCAGCTTCTTTGATAGAGGTCACGTGCGGAACACGAACCGCACACAAATTGTTAAGCGTAAAAGAAAAAAAAAAAAAATCTGGAAATGCAGAATATCAACAGAGGCTTGTCTGAAACCCTAGCTCTACTCCTCTTCTTCCTCCAATCTTTCATTTGCTGAGCAACATTTCCATTTCCAAGGTACCAATTTATGTTTTTTCTGTTCTAAATTTGGTTTCCCCATGTTTGCAGCTCCATCTTGTTTTATCCTGTTTTAATTCTGTCTTTTTAGTTCCTATTGGTTGGAATTCTGATTCATTTGATTAGCGCCAATAGGGGGTTATTCAACATGAGCTTGATTTTTGGGTACCAGTTACACTTGGTTGTTCTTTTCTTCCTGGAAATGGCCTCGGTTAAGGTTTTAATCTGTTGTGATTGGGTACGATTTGTGATTATAATTAATTATATTTGTTGGGTTTTTTTTTGACAAAAGAATGGGGAAATGGATTCTAAATTTTCGGTTTTGGGTGCTTTGAGTTTGGTCTTTTGTTGGCACGTGGTTGCAATGAGCGCATTTTACCATTTTCTCTTAATTGAAATCCAGGCAACGGAAAATTTGAGATTCCCTAGTCTCTGGTTATATGTAGTATGCTTGGAGTTTCAGGAACGTCTCCCTGTGTTGTAACTGAAGTGTCGTTAGAAATGGAATTTCACTTGCTACAGTGAAGTTCATTCAAATATCTATGCAGGCTTCCCTGCTGCTTATCTAGCAAGTGCACGAAAAATTGTAATTGAACATGTATTTTGTTTATTACCTTTGATGCTCGATTTTGAGAGTGAAGGTTTTTTGTTGCTTTTGAAAGTAGCCTCTTGGTGGCTGGAATTTTGGATCTTAGATGGAATATTAGATACAATTGTTGAACAATGCAATTGAAGGGGTAAAGATCGAAGGATGAAGTTGACCTTGCATTTTGTAGTCGACCATACTGACTGAGTCCTTCTTTCCTTGTATTTAGTAATTACAACCTAGTGAATTAACTTTGTCTTTTATTCCCAAAGAAAAAGAAATCCTCAAATAACCGTATTTGGTGTATTTCTTTTAGGTAGAAGTTTTGTTCACTTGTAGTACCTTGAGTTTTAAGCAGTATAAAGTATCAAATCAATACTTATAAGATTGTCCGAAGGAGAAATCCAAATATTTTCCCATTCCCAAATTGGACTTTTTCTGCAAGACGCAAACTGAAAACAGGAACATCTTGCTGTCTGTTATCCATGGATTTTTTTTTCCATCTTTAATAGTTCTTATATCCTCACCTGCCGGCTGCCAGCAGGTAACACCTCTGGACAAAAAAGACTTTCAGGTCCAGTTTACAGCTTATTTTCAGATAGTTTTTGTAGGTCAGTCGGGGTTAGCATCAACATTGCTGCTTCTTGGTTCCTTTGGCTGGATAGAAATGGTAAGATTTTTGAAGGAAATGTTAGGAATATTTTTTTAGGGTAGTTTAGGAATATTGTTGAGGGAAGACCGGAAGAGGAACTTGCACTTTCTAGATGACCAATAGGATTTTTTTTTTGGCTTTTGAAAGGGCCAAATGTGTTATCATTCTTCACTCGTATTTGTTTTTCCTATTTCTTATATAGGAAAAGGAAAACAGAGCAAGAGAACAGAGAGATAATGGGTTCATCTTTCTAATGGTATATAGAGAGTGGCCGGTGGCTAGCAGAAATTGACTTTAGAGTTATGATTTACAACTGGAGTATCTTTTTGGAATTTTATTTTCCTACTCTACCAATATTCAGAGAAAAGTTATTAGTTAAACTAGAGTGTATTACTCATATCTATTTTTATTATTCTCAATGTAGTTTCTTATCAAAAAAAAAAAAAACTAGTGTATTACTCCTATCTTCTAGAACATGATGCTCCGTTCCTCCCAAGTCTAGGCAATGAATTTTGGTTAATCCACATCATTTTATTACCTGTTTGTAAGGTATGATATGCCTTTTATGTTGACATGTTACAACTTACAAGTACATAGCTAGTATGTGTATGCAATGTTGCAAGTGTGTGGTTGATATGAAGTTCTCGCATATCTTTTCAATAATGCTCGCTTTCATTTCTTTTGATCTCAGGTGTTTTGTTATTTGCCAGTCCTCTAGATTGTGAGTCCCTTCTGTATAGTGCAGCTAGCTCCTTAAAGTTCTATTATCAATAACAGATATGTTTGTCTGGGATCTCCTTTTTATCAACTTTGGTGGCATTGATAAAGAGCTGAGAATCTTAACAAATTTAAGACCTTGAAGAAGGCAAACTTTTATTTCTGTATGACTCCCTAATTTCTGTGAGGAGGTTCAAAGTGCTCATATATTTATTTTCCTTGAACGAGTGTGTGATAAGTACTGCAGTGTTACATCAGATGACTGAAAGTGCTATGGCGGTAGTCAAACCTGAGGTATGCTACATTATGAATTTAGGCTAGGTTCAAGGAAATTGTCTTTGTTTGATAACAAGGCACGGAATTTTCCATGCTGTTTTTTCCGTCTCAAAGTTGTATGCTTCAATTAAGATGACAGTAACTTAAAAAATTTTATTTTGACAAACTTGATGAGAAAAATCACTTTTATCTAAGTTGCTTCAACAGCCACTTCATCGTCCGCTGCTTAGTTTTTCTTGTGTAATGTGTATTTATTCCAGATGAAGTCTTACATTTGGCTTCAAACTGCCGATGGCTCAATACAACAAGTTGAAGAAGAGGTTGCTATGTTTTGCCCTATGATTTGTCGGGAAATACTCCAAACAGGGATGGGATCCTCCAAAAATTATGCTATATCTCTTCCACAGCGAGTGAATCCTGCCATATTAGGCTTAATACTTGACTATTGCAGGTTCCATCAAGTACCGGGTCGCTCTAATAAGGTCAGTATATCTCTGAACCTGTTCTGACCTCTAACCACTGCCATCAGTTATGGAGCTGTGGAGATTGAATGGATGCTGTTACTTATGGACAACTCAGTAGTCATATTACAAATGAAACATGGGTTATTCTTTGCCATAGGAGCGTAAAACATTTGATGAGAAATTCATTCGCATGGATACAAAAAAGCTATGTGAATTGACGTCTGCTGCGGATAGCCTCCAATTAAAACCTTTGGTTGATCTAACTAGCCGGGCACTTGCTAGAATTATTGAAGGAAAGACTCCAGAGGAGATAAGGGAGACATTTCACCTACCTGATGATCTCACAGAGGTGTGTCCTTCACACATGCACAAACACACACACACACACATGCATGTTCAGTTTAAGTGTCTCACTCAGATTTAACTCTGCAGGAGGAAAAGTTGGAGCCCCTGCGAAACATAACAGATGATCCACGCATTCGGCTCTTAAATCGATTATATGCACGAAAGAGGAAAGAATTAAGAGAAAGAGAGAAATTGAAGGTGCATTACCCTCTTTTTGATGGAAAAGCATAATTTATATCAATTAAGGATATATTACAGGAGACAGGGGATGAGATATCCTGTAATAAGGAATATGAAAATTACAAGAACAAAAGAGGCAAAAATAATCCCAAACTCTATATATTGTAGATATTTTTCATATACACGTCTGAAGCCCTTGCCAAGGCTCGAATACTATACTTAATCTGATTGAGTCGTGTTGTACAATTTTAATTCTCATTAGCATGTCCATTTTCCACAATTTCAGAATGTTGAGATCGAGGAGCGGGTGGATGATAGATCAGTGGATGACTTATTGTCATTTATAAATGGAGGAGATGGAGGTACTTGAGAATTGTTCACTCGTTGTTGCCTTTTCTTTTCATTTCATGGTTTTAACTTTTAAGTGAGTCGTTTTCTTCTTTTGATGTTTTGGATTTTGTATTGCACACCTAGCATTCTACTGTCCTTCTCCAGTGGTTTTGCAATTTATAAGAATTTGCAACAATTTACTTGTAAACATGAGGAGAAAAGATGCTACTTGTCCACATTCTTTTGAGATTTTCAAAATGTCTCTTATTTATTTATGTTCTTTGTAATTCAACTATTATTATTCCACATGCAGATTCAAAGGCAGTTAAAACAAACAAAAACAAAAAGAAAAATCGGAGGAGAAAAGATCAACAGAAGGATTCTTCTTCAACCAATGAAAATGGGAACCATGATAAAATAGGGGTTTGCATCTGTTCATGGCTTTGTATTTTTTGCTTGTCTAAATATGTGGCCTTTGGTCTAATATAAGTTATTTTTTCACATCAGAAGTAGCTCTGATCATTAAATTCTGCTTTCTTGTTTTAGGAGTTGGATGCTCTTCCTTCTTGTCGCCAGAATGAGTGTAACAAGATTTTGGGGGCATCTCCGAGTAGAACTGTGAAATCACAGGATTCGGCAGCTGCTATTTATTCACCTAAGATCGAGTTTGATGATGGTGATATTTATGATGATCTAGATCCAGCAATGAAAGAGGAACTTGACAGGTTAGATATGTCAAATCAAGGTTGCAGCATACCTTTCTTTTTATATACTTCATTCAAGTTTTGGGCGGGTGTTGAATGTCAGTTGACAACACGGACCCTTTTTCTCACTTTTTATTGCTCGTTTTCTTCTGCATGCTCATATGTATACGGTTTTCCCTATTTCTGAGCACCCGCATTTTATGATTGCTTAATTATATATTTTGCACTGCTGTCTGCTGCAACCTCAACTCTTTTACATGCACGGCATATAATATATATAGATTATATTTGTTTTTAATTTCTAATTTGTGAAAGCTATTTCCTGGCTTTGTGTGATACAAGCGGGATGGTAATTAGATTATTTGTTCATTTTTTCTTAGAGTTCTTTATACTGAGCTCAATTTTAGTTAGTGTTGAATAATTGTAGTTATCTACCACATTTTCTTCTGAAAAAATTGTTCCAAGAGGGACAGAAAAGTGGGATGGAGGCACTACCTCCAAAACTAGCCAAATGAGCTGAAAAAGTTCTCCTTGAATGTCAAAAGTATAATTACAAACAACTCTCAGAACCATAAGCTTTCTAGTCTAGAGACATGAATATCATTCTCCCAAATTTCATGGGGAGGGGAAAATACCTTATTTGATTCATTGGAGCCGATTATCCCAAATTATAATACAATTACCCAGGATTTCTTTTCTTTTTTTATCTCGAGGCCACTTCCAAGAATATTTTGAATCGGTAAAATCCTTCATCAATGCCCAATGGGACATGCACTATACTTTGTGAAAAGACTGTTTACATGAGACTTGAGAGTTGGGTACCTTTTGTATAAACCATACGGTTTCACCTTTTGTGGACATGGGTTGGAATGAAGTGCTAAACTATAATGGTGGGGTTTATGGGCAGAAAGAAATTATAGGATTTTTGAGAGTAAACATCTAAGTTGTGAGGAAAGAACGGAGACCATCAATTGTTTTGTAGCCTTTTGGTCTACTCACGCAGGAGGGTTTAGGTTGTATTCAATTAATGATAACATGATGCACTTATTCTAGAGTGGGGTACCAATAACCAAGGGAGCATTTGATTAGATAGTGTTGGACGTCCCTGCCTACTCAACGTGAGAAGGGGTTGGTTTGCAAAGGAATAAAGCCATCCTTTTAAAATGGCCGTGGAGGAGAGTGATTGTGACTATTTATGAAGTGGAGACCCACAATTGGTTCAATAAATTGGCTGACAACTAGAGGCTGACCAGGCTAGTTTTTTGAGTTTTGTGAAGTTCAAAGTGGTAAATGGGAGGGCAGCATATTCTTTTCTGAGAAGATGCCTGGACAGGGCAGACCCCAATCCCATTATTCTTATTCCCTGAATATTAAGCATTATCGTCTAAAAGGCGCACTCATAGTTGATTTTGAGCATCGCACTTGGGATCTGGGGAGTTAGAAGGAGATTGTTTGTCTTTGTCATAGAGGAGGTAGGCTGAATTTACGGAAAACTGGATGCGGTTCAAATTGGAAACAACCAAGACAGTATCTTGTGGAAGCTAGAGCCAAACAGCTTGTTCTCAGCAAAATGTACCTTCATCCACCTCACAAAACCAACCGCCAAGTTGGAAACCCCTTGGTGGACTACATTTGGGAATTAAATATTCCAAAGAAAGTGGTGTTCTTAATTTGGTCTCGTATGTATAGAAGCCTAAACACAGCTGATAAACTCCAAAGGAAGTTTCCCTTTAGGCTTTAGCCTCTTCAGTCTGCTGCATGTGCTGTAAGGATATCAAGACTCTTGACCATATTTTCCTCCACTGTGCGTTTATAAAGAAGCCTGGTGCTTTATTTTAAATGAATTTGGAATGTTGCGATTGCATGGATTTTTTACTCTTCTAAAGTCTAGCAGTAAAGTAGTTTAATGGCAAGGCTATAATTTTGTGGAATTATGTGATGCGTGTATGGGTGACTTATTGGTCCAAAGAGGCTAGGGTAAATTGAGAGGGAATGAGGTGAAACTCTATGTCCCATGATGAGCAACTACCTTAGAAATTAATTTCTGTGTTTCCAAGCACCAAATATTGTAGGGTCAAGCGGCTGTCCCATGATATTAGTCRAGGTGTGTGCAAGCTGACTCAGACACTCAAAAAGTGATGCGCATCTTATTGCTTATTTGGAAAGGGAGAAATCAAAGATTTTTGTAAGACAAGAAGACTCTAATGGAATCTTTTTGTACAACCATTGTTGTCTCAATATATTGATTGTTTTTATATTAAAAAAAGGTAGGCTCACAAGGACATCTCAACTAAATGGAATAACCTTAACACCACCACCGTCATCATCTAGCTTCTCTCAATATATTATTGAAAAAAAATTTCTTTGTGAAAGCTTGGTTTCTTGATCCCAAAAAATGTATTATTAGAAAAAGTTTACAATATACCTCGGATAAAACAACATAACTTAAAAGGTTAATTGCTAGGAAGCACTGATATGCTAAAAATGGCTAAGTTTGGTGTCCGACACGCTAATTAGAGTGTCCTAATTTGTTTTTTCTTTATTATCTTCTTTGTTTCTTTCGTCTCCTAGCCATTTTCTTCTCTGGTTTCTCTCCCGAATTTTTTTCTTTGCAATTTCTTCTCTTTCTCCTTCTCGTAAGTTTCTCCTTCGGTTCTTCCCCTCCTTAGTTTCTTCTCCCATATATATTTTTTTCATTTTCAATTTCTTTTTTTTGATAATAAACAAAGAACTTTCATTAATAAAAAGAGAGGAGCCCAAAAAATACAGGAAAAACAAGCTAGAGGTAGAGGGTCGAGAGGACCCTCTCCAAAGAGACTAAGCAATCAAGAAATTCCGGCTCTGAAGAGTCAAAAGAAAACCATAGTTACAAAAAACCTTCTTGTGGATCGAGGCCCACCAAGAAGCAGTATGCTTTATATTCACACAAAAAGAGTCAAGTGAAGCTTCTTTCTCTTCAAAAAGTCTGTGGTTCCATTCCTTCCAAAGCAACCATAGAAGGGCTCTAGCACCACAATTCCAGAGAATAAAAGATTTTCCTCTTAGCAGAGAACCACCAAAACCTTCAGCAATAAAATCATCTATTTTCTTCGGGAGACCGAGAGCCAAATCTATTTTCTTCGGGAGACAGAGAGCCAAATCAAGGTGGGAAGCCAAATAGTTCCAAGCTGTATTTGCAAAGATACAATGAAGGAAGAGATGATCCACCATTTCAGCACTCCTAATGCACGTATCACAAACGGAAGGTGAGAGAGTCCACTGAGGTAATTTCCTTTGGACTTTTTCAGCTGTATTGTGCCCTTATAAAAGAGAGTCCAAAGGAACACCTTAACCTTCTTTGGAACCTTGAAGTTCCAGATGAGAGAAGCGGTGGCTGCATTTAATATGGGAGAGGGGGAGGTAATTGCCATGAAGGCCGATTTCACTGAAAAAACACCCTTCCTGTCTGTAGTCCAGCATAAGGAGTCATTGTCCTAGCCAATAACCATTCCTTCAAGTTTACCAGTAAACAACGCCCACCTTTCAGCTCTCTATCAAAAAGGTTCCTTCTCATGCCAATGTCCCATGTCATAGCCTCTGCATTTTCAATTTCTTCACTTGCTCCTCTTTGGAGGTTGTTTAGTTTCTTCTCCATTTGCGTTTTTCTCATTCTCCTTCATTTGTTCTCCTTCATAGCAGTATTAAATACGGATAATATTTCAAATATGTACACACATATATTTAAATGAAAAATATTATTGTGTCCCCAACGTGCTGTATTCTACTTTTTTGAAAATTGAGTCTTGCCATATCCGTGTCGTGTGACCGTGTTTGGAAATATATTTGAGTATTATACATTCATTACTAGTTTCTCATTGCCAATTATTGATACGTTGCTTGTTCTTGTCCAAGAAAAGATTGCGTTGCTTGTCGATTACTAATATATTGCTTGCCTCTATTGATATGATATAGATAAATTCTTTTCAGGGTCTTGTTAACGGGGTAAGCTATTGTATTTCTCTTAAAGGAGGATGTAAATTTAATTCATTTATCATTGAAAAGGAAATTGAAGTCTCAATCATATTTTCCAGGAGTTTATAGTAACTGATAGCAATCATCTTCGAAATGCACTTTCTGTCACCATTTGAGTTAATCAATTTCTTGGATGCAGGGAAGTAGAGGATTTTGCAAGAAGATTGAATTCAGATTGGCCAGAAAGAGTGCAAGAAATTTTATCGCTAGGCCAAGAAAGAAAACTCGTGACAGTATTAAATGGCAATGGTTCATCACCGAGATTCACAAGTAAGTTTTGCGCTAATTCTTTCCTATCCTTAGAATGAACTGTTGTAATATAACATTTTAAGTACAAGGGCTGAGTTGCTGATTGATTCAATTCAACCAACTGATCATTAGTTGAGAATTAATATCACATGTTTCCAATTTGAGGGGTGGAGCATTTTGGTTTTAGAAAATTACAAAACTATAACACAATCGATGTTTTTGGTGTGGAGCTACTGGAGTGATTGGTGTATTGATTTGATATGTCTAGAACAGGTGCTGATAGGAGGTAGTAGTCTTCCTATTGGAGTTCGAAGGTAGTAACCATCTAGAGGCAATCTGCTTTCTGGTACTTGAACACAGTAGCTCGGTTGATTCGAAGCGGTCAGATTCTGGGAGGAGCTGCTGCTGTAAGGAAGAGCAAGAGTTTGCAAGATTTCAGTGTAAATGGTTTTGATGGGAAGATTTATAGGGGCATTATTTCATGAGGAAGATGCAAATTTTTGTTTTGTGGGATTTTGTATGGCAGAGAAATGAAAGAGAGTCATAAGAGGAAAAGGGGGGAGGGAGGGGAACAAAAACTGGCGCTGTATCGCTGAGAGAGAGCACAATTGGCTCATCCCTTTTTTTTGAGCCTTTTCATTTTGTTTTTTCTTTTGTTTGTTTGTAACTTGAGCCAGCATTATTTTGGCTTATATGTATTGTTGTTGAAATTAATGTCCACTGCATAAAAATGGTATCTTAATTCTTTCCATTTGTTTGTAACCCAATTTTGGCATTCAATAGTAAAGCAGTTTTGGTGATAATGGAAGGTAACTGTCATATGATTCTTTAGTCAACTTGGAGTAGTATTTATATATGTTGGCTATGTTTACTTCACTCAGACATTTGACATTAAAAAATTGAGAAGATATACAGGATCCATCGAAACTAAGATCGTGAGTTTAAATCTCTATCTCATGAACTAAAATCAATAACTAATGGTGGAAGAACAACAATTTTTTTTGGAGTTAATCAACCATTGTAGGGGTGGAGATGGAACCATTAACTTTTAGGACTACACTAGATATCTAATCTAATTTTTTTTTTAATACAATATGTTAGGGAGTAGATTCGAATACACAATCTCTTACCGTTAGGTAGTATGTTTATTTCATCAAATTAAAATATAGAATACTTTTCACTAAAGTGTGTTTTTATATCACAACATTGTTAATTAATTTTTAATAGCCACATTTTTACGATTAGTCCATTTATAACGTCAAACCATCCCATTTCATCTCCTACCCGAACACCCCTGAAATCTCATGGGAAGAATGATTATGAACTTTTTTTTTTTTGGGTTTGAATCTCTGCCATTAAAAGGAATATATATATATATGAAAAAGTAGTAAAATTTGAAATTTAATTGGTAAAAGGTGAAAATTTCTATTACAATCTACAAACCATTGACCCAAAATAATTGGGTAATTTTTGTCTCCTCCTTGGGTAAAATTCCTGCTTCTCGCAAAAACCCTTCTAAACTCTCCTCTCTAATCATCAACGTTCATGCTTCCTCTTCACAGTTGCAGACCCACCTCTCTCGCCTCGCCGTCGCCGCTCGCCGCCGTTGATCGCCGCCGTCACTCGTCGTTTCTCTCTCGTTCGCAGTCACTTAGATTTGCTCCTTCTTGCCAGTAGTCTCTCCTATCTCACGAAAGCCTTCTTCTCCCTCTCTGTTAAAATACCCAGCGGCGGCTCTCTCCTCTCGCAGCCATCTTTCTTCCACCATGCTTTCTCGTCTACTTCCTAAACCCTCCCATTTCAAATTACTCGCCTTGATTTCCACTAAACCCCCACCTCAGAGTCCTAGTTTTCGCCTTCTTCCCCGATTCTTCTCCACCAATGACAATGGAAGTAATAACAATAAGAGCAGTGGAAGCAGGGACCAACCGACGAGCAATGTGTGGAAGCTTTCCCAGGAGAATGATGGAAATTTCGACCAATTATTCACTCAGGACGTTGAAAACCTTGATGGCATTGCGGAGGATGATTCTGCTGCAGTCGACGACGATTCGTGGGTGAGATCGAAGGACGGGGATCGGGGCGCCGAAGGGGACGTTTTTGCGAGCATGGAGAAGGAAATTCAAGGAAATAAAGATGGCGCTGGTGATAACGAATGGGTTACGGCGAAAAAATACGAGCCGTGGAGCTTGGTGGAGGAAGAGAAGAGTGATGTCTTTAACATCGAGGAGTATACAGTTGAAATTGGTGAATCTAGAGATGAGAGTAGAGAAGTGGATGGTGGGAGCAGTGAGGACGCTAAGAAGCTCGAAAAGGAGGAGCAGGAACTCACTGCCGTCCTTAAAGGCAAGTTTTTCTCCCCCTAGATTGGGAAGAGTGTATTTCAAGTTCAACGACTAGTGCATTTAAATGGGTTTCTATATTCTAGCTGCGTAGGTATTATTTTATGGTTCAGTTGGGTAAAATATTGGTGTCTTCCTGATCATTGGTTCTGTGATGGTTACTCATGGATGATAATTGATAAGAATGTTCTTTCTCGTAGCTTCTGTGTTTATCTTGAGAACAACAGAACTCGGGGGTTGAGACCATTGGACCTTTATTTTTTTCCCTCTGTTTAGAGATTTAAATGACGTCTTCTTCTGGTTAGTCGAATAACTTGAATTTTATTGGTTCTTGTCATTTCACCCTTCTGTAGTTTATTTTAGCTGATATGTGTTGTTCAAATCCCTCCCTTTTTTTTTCCGTGTGTGCGCAATCATTTAAGATTTATTTCTTAGTAGATTAGAAAACAGGAGTCTAGTAATAGGCTTGCTTTGACATTTCTAATGTCTGAACTTAGGAAAAGCATCAACTACTTTCTTTGTGGTTAATGGTATCAAGAGTGAGGAAGTTTAAGTGATCGATACTTTTCTAGGAATGGATGCCATCATAATTAGCACATGAAAAGCAGGAGATGTTGGAGTTAGGTTTGTATGTTACGATTGAATTTCAATTTATGCTTTCTGGATCGAAACCTCCTGAGGTGAGGGTAGCTTTTAGTTGATTATCAGTTGTCAGTAGCTTGAATTTCGATTATTATGGAGTTCATGCAGGCTTCATCTGAAGGATAGCATGCCTGGTGGATCTGGCTCATTACTCGTGAGTCATGCCTAAAGAAAAATCTAATCTTAAGCGGCATTAGGCTATGATATTAAAGCATTATCATCAGGCAATATGACATTCATTAAATTAATAGATTGGGAAAGTAACGGGTTTGCAAGTTGTAAAATGTCGTGTATTGTGAAGGTTCATATTAAATGTCTCTTAATAGACATTTGATAGGCTTAATAGACCGCCAATGCAGATTATGTATGCAAGGAGAAAGGCACAAGGAAAAATGCATGAGAATTTCAAGGGTATAGTTAGATATGTGTCATGAGTATGTAAGTGAGGGCTGTGGGATAAGTTCAATTAGGGATGTCAGCAGGGGAAGGGTAGGCTCAATGTACTGTTTGTGGAGAGTTCCAGACCTCCTGAGTGTCTGAGGGAGTCAATATCCTTTTTAAATCTCACTTATTCAGCATATTGTAATAGAACTATATCAATTGTCTGAAAAAATCTCAGCTAAGCCAGAAATGGTTGGTTAGCATGTTACTGATCAGTTAACTCCATAGGTTCATATGGTAGTTGGTGAACCCTTGGATTTACCCAAATCGTATTGGCCATGGGGTTCGAATCTTTCTGACCCTTCTGCTTGGTACATCAAATATCTCATTGTTTATTGGCTGGCAGGTATTTTAGAGTTTGGCACTTGACCTCAAGCTTCGATCTAGTGAACATAAATTTTTTTCAGATCTGTACTGGATGGGTATTGGAAATTTGAAGAAGAAGAATAAACCATGTTTAAAAGGGTTAGGGCTAGCAAGTATGCACAGGAAAGAAGATTCTGAATAGTGTATACATCAAAAGAAATTTGGGATTTGTAGAAGTCCACCACATTTTGAAGTTAAAAGATACTTTTGTTTACTTCCATCAAATAGGTACTGGTGTGTCTTGGAGAGGAAAGGCCAAAGTGAAGTGGGTTAAAGAGGGTGACCATAGTACCTCTTTCTTTCATAAAATTGTGAGCTCGTGGAGGAATAAGAATGACATGTCTCCCTTGAAGATGAGAATAGTGAACTGATGGTGGGGATAAGGCAAAGTGATCCCTTATTTTCTTTCCTCTTTTTTGTGGTGGTTGATGTCTTTAGTAAGTTGGCCATTGGGATGGATAAGATTAAGGGTCTAATTGAGGGCTTTCATATGGGTAAGGAACAAGCCTGTTTCTCTCATCTTTAGTTTGCTCTGTTAACACGGTTTTCTTCTGTTCTAGGTGGAAGGTTTCGTTTATTAAGCTAAACTATATTTTGGCAGTATTTGAACTCATTCCAGGATGTAAGGTTACCAAGGACTAAAGTTAAATAGTAGAATTAATTGCAATTCAACTAAGGTGGTTAGACGGGCGTCTGTTGTGGGTTGTGAGGTTTCCAAGCTGCTTACTTCCTCTTGAACTTCCTCTTGGATATAACACATATTGTTTGTCGTTTATGAACTTGGTAGTTGGAAAGGTCCAAAAGCATCATCCCCCATGGAAAAAAGGCGTTCTTCTCTAAGGGTGACAAGTTGACTCTTATTAGTTCATATTGAGTGTGATTCATATATAATTTCCGTCTCTATTTAAGATTCCTTCTACCATTGTAGGTTGGAGAAGATCAAGAGAAACTTTCTCTAGGAGGGATTTGAGTAGGGCACAAGCTCTCACTCGGTTAGATAGGAGGTTGTTTCAAATGGATTAAGTCAAGCAATATGTTAGGCCTCCTATCGTAAACACCTACAGCAGGAGGGGTAGAAATGAGAATTGAGTAGCATTAATGGCCCCGGGAGAGAAAAAGGTAGTGTAGGGGGAGAATCACACAGGGGGCAAGTTAGTTAGAAGGATTATGCTTTTTGTATTCAGTGCCTAGGTGAAGTCTATGAAAGTTTCCCCGCCCTCACGAATTGGTGGGTTGAGTGTGTATCGCCTATGAGCTTGTATTCTTTGTTTTGGAATAGTAAAACAGTAAGGAGATACCTTACACAGTTTTGGTATAGGCAATTTGGGAGCTCACAGTGAGGCTCTTCTAGTTAAGTGGTTATGACATTTTCTTTTGGAGAGCCTAACACTTTATGGCATAAGGATCATTGTGAGTTAGACATATCACAAACACGTCGATATGTCCCGGAAAAAAAGATAATGAGAAGTTAAAAAAAAAAAACTTATTTTGGCTATCCATTGACAAGTAAGAAAAAAATCCATTTTGGTTATCCCTTGTTTCAGCCTTATGAAAGGTGAATCATCGTGAGTTGGCCTAACGATCAATAAGAGCCAATGTAAGTAGTAAATAGCTTAGAGGAGATGAGTTCAAACTAACCTGAGTTTTCTTGGCAATTAAATGTAGTAGGGTTAGGTAGTTATCTCGTAAGATTAGTTGAGCTTGCACAAGTTGGTCAGGACACTCACGGATATAAAAAAAAAAAAGAGAAGTAAAATAGCCCAAAAGGGTGAATCTTATATCTTGGTTGGTTTTTCTTGAAAGTTTGAATTCGTTTGCAAAATTCAAAGAAAATGCCCAGATTTACCCTTAAATCCTAGTTGCTGTCCACATTGTTCTTAGGCTGGAGCCTGGAGAAGATCTTCATCATATATTCTTCATTGTTATTATAGCTGGCAATTTTGAGAGGCTTCCTTTCATATTTTTGGTTGTTCTTGGGTCAGCAATTTCAGGACTTGTTTTAGTTTGCGGCCATGGTATTGAAGGAAAAACTTTAGTATTACGAGTCATTATTGTCAAGTTTTTGATTGTAGGAATATGGCTTGAAAGAAATAAGCAAGTTTTCGAAAACAAAAGTACCACTTTGGAGAAGAGCTTTGATATAAAGTGTATGTGGCTTCTCGGAGTGAGACTGATCTATCCAACTCTTAGTTGCTATTCATTTTATTAGATTAATTGTTATTGGAGTACTTTCCAAAGCTCTTTAGCTATGCATTTTATTAGATTAATTGTTATTGGAGTACTTTCTTGTAAGTTTTCAGTATATAGTCTGCTTAGTTTTGGTTTTGGAGGTCTTGTTGATATGTTTCTTTACTAGTTTCTGGTTAGTAACTTTGCAAATATCAAAGGAAAGTGTCCAGGGTTGAGCCCTAGGATTTGATGGCGGATTTAAAATGTTTCCTATCCCTGAATTTTTTTTTTTTAGAAAAGGAGATGATTAAAGTATATTGGCAGGTCAACACCATCAATTGTATGGATGAATTTTCTCTCTGCTTCCATATTTTAATAAATTATTATTTACCTTTATATGCTAAGTATGATTATTTTTAATATGGATGAAATTAGCTTGGAATTCGATCCATTTTCCTTTTTGTGTACTCACATAGGTTAATTTGTTGATCATTGGAATTTGAATAATGGTTGATTTCTATATTAGTTTCACATATTTGTTTCAGTTATCTTATTTATTATGTCAAACTTTAGGTCCTAATTGCACATTTGGAGACCTCATAGCTGCATCAGGAATCACGGATGACATGTTAGATAGTTTGATTGCTTTGAAAGATTTGGAAGGAGTTGAGGGGTTGCCCCCTCTAACTGAAATAGAGGATATGCGTTATGAGAAAAATACAAGAAAATCCTCAAGAGCTGAAATTGAGCGCCAGAAACAAGAAGAGGTTGCAAAAGCAAGAGTGAGACAGGTAGATGACAAAGGAAGAGCATATGGCACGGGAAGAAGGAAATGCAGCATTGCCCGTGTATGGATTCAGCCAGGAGATGGCAAGTTCATAGTGAATGATAAAGAATTTGATGTCTATTTTCCAATGCTTGATAGTCGGGCTGCTCTTCTTCGACCTTTCTCCGAGACCAAAACTTTAGGCCTTTGGGATGTGACATGTACTGTAAAAGGAGGTGGTACATCAGGTAAGCTAAGTTAATATTGAAACACATTTAGCATCACTTTTCTTAATATCTCATCTTTTACGTAGAGTTATGTTTGTGATTAAATTTATGTTTTGCGATTAAGTTTATGATGCCAGCTAGCTTCTAAACCAGAATAAATCCAAATTTCACTCCTTCATAGTTTTTCCTCTGAAAACTTATGCATGCATATTTTTAATGTTTCCTTCATCTTCTGCCGAAACTTGGATCATGATCATCTGCTTACTCTTCATTTTGTCTGATTTAGGTGGATAGTGAATTTCTCCTTGGAGAACATTATCCAAATAAGTTAAGAGAATGTTTAAAGCTAAAAGGCACCAACTGTCCCTTTTATTTCTGAAAGAGCACAATGAAAAGTCATCCAGATTTTCCATTAAAAGAAGCCATTCCTCCAACCATTCATCCTTGAGATTTTTAGCAATAACCATCTGTGGTGAGAGAGAGGAGACACCGGCAATGACTAATGGGGAAATAAAGATTTTCAACACTATCATTAGTCTCTTTCATTTTATTCTATCAGTAACTCTTCATCATTTTAAATCGCTCATTAGTCTCATTTATTTTCAACAACTATTTTCTAAAAATGGAATAAAGATTTTCTCTGGTCCTGGAGTTTTAGATCCTAGGTTGCATCACCTATCATTTAACACTTCCCGAACTAATAGTTTTGATTCTAATGTACATCTTCCCGTACTAATAGTTTTGATTCTAATGTAAATCTTGCTTTATGCAGTAACAGTATCTACTCAACATGTGCATTTCACATGCACCAAAAAAAAAAAAAGAAATCTGATTCTCTTTATTGAAAACTCAAGGTGAACAAATACATTACACGAAAGCCCTTAAGTAGGCTTGAAAAAAAATCTGTACAGCCGGTAAATAACCTATAGGGCTAGCAATCCATTCACCCTATTTAACTGGCTAAACCAGTAACAAATATTTGTTACTAATAAATATATCCAGTAACAAATATCAAGTTCTCCAATAGACTACTTATGACAAAAGAATGAAAATACATGAACTGTAAGTAAATAGCTTGAGTAATCTAAAAAGTTTAGGGGAAGACTTGAGCAAGAGGAAAGTAACAATCTGTAGACTAACCAGCCAAGGACTGTAGGAGAGAGACTTCAATCAACTAATCCTTGAAAGACTTCAGGCCTGTCAGCTTAGTGAATATCTTCTATGAAATCAACTCCAGAGTGTTTGTGAGAGACTTAAAAGCATACTAGTTGGTTACTTGGTTCGGTTCAAAGTTACATTAGTAGTACTGCAGATGTAGTTCAAAATATATGTCCCTTTTTGGTATTTCTTCTAGTTGTGCATTTGGTAACGATGGGATGGGGAAACTTTTTCCTTCCTTGTCCATTCACCTTTGGATGCTGAGGTATGCTTTTTCAGGAAGTTGTGGGTCACATGGAGCTTGCCTAAGAGTACTCTGGGTTTTGTGGGAGTAACTTCTTTGTGCCCATCATTTTAAATATAAAGCTAAAACGATTTTGATTTCTACAGCTAAGGTTGTCGTTCTGCTCTTTTGGGAGACATAGTTGGTAATAAATCATTAGAATCATAAAGAATAGAGCTAGAGAGTTGGATGAGCTTTAAGAGTCTATATGGTTTTTGTGCTCGCTCTTGGTGTACTCTCGATATATATTTTTTTATTATTATCATTATTGTTATTATTAGGGTAAAATTACTTTTTTGGTCTCTCACGGTTGGGCAACAATTCTGTTTTGTCTCTAAGTTTCAAAATCTTACGATTAAATCCCAAGGTCAAGAAAATACTCCATTTTAGTTTTTTTTTTTACTATAATGAGGTAGTCTTTTTGATTAAAAAAGTGCTGATGTAGCCGTTTATTATTTTTTATTTTTTTGGTAGGAAACAAAAAGATAGTGTTAGGAAGACATAAAAAAAACAGGCTAGGGCCGGGAACGAGAAAGCCCCCTCCCCACAAAGAAGTAATGAAGTACAACTTTCCAATCACAGTTGAACATTTCTAAACTGTAATTATAAAAGAATTTCCTGTGGTTTAGCACCAAGAAGTAGTAATTTGTACACAATTACAAAAAAAATCATAAGAACGATGATTGTTATTGAAGAAACTTAATCTCATCTTCTTTTGGAATGACACTGAATTGCTCCATAGATGCAAGATTAGAAGGCCATCGAAGATTTATCCTCTTTTTTTTTCCCTGGAGGTTAATGTCTGGAATCATGTCTTCTGGCATGGCTATGTTGTGGGTTTTTCAGATTGCAGATTTGAGAGAGGTAATGGGGAAGGAGATGAGACAGGCAACAGGGGTGGGGTATAGCGGGGTAGGGTGGTGCTAGATCTGAGGGAAGGGAAAGGGGTTGGGGGTACCCAAGTTGGGGATGGGGATGGTGGAGGGCAGAGAGAGTTTTAGGTATTTTATTTATTTATTATTATTATTTTTTAATTTTAATTTTTAACTGCCACACCCTCACTTTTATTATATTTTTTGAACAAGAAACGAACTTTTCATTGATTAATGAAARGGAACATGAAATTGTTCAAAGATACAAACCCCCGAATGAGTGAAAACAAAGTCAACAAAATAAAATGTTACAACAAAACGTAATGGGGAGTTATAAAAGCCTCCCACTAAACTAGAAGAAAAATTAGCAAACAAATTAGAAAGAACACACCATTGAGAGGCCTTAAACTTAGCTAATTTGAAAACCTCAACCGGATCTTTACTTTTTCCTTCAAAAATCCTTTGGTTGCTCTTGAACCGAAAGTTAAACAGCACAGCTTTAACTTCGTTCCGCCATAGAAGACATGCTTTGGGTGCTAAAATCTGTCCATTCAACAAGGAGATGACGTTCTTTGAGGAATCAAACTCGAAAACCCAAGAAGCATCAAAGAGCTCGAAGAAAAAACTCCAGCAAATCATAGCAAAGGAACAATGGAAGAAAATATGCTGATTCGCCAAATTACAAACAGAAGGATGAAGTGCCATTGAAGGAATCTTTTTTTGCAGTACATCTGTTGTATTAACCTTTCCATGAAGGAGAATCCAAGCAAAAACATTAACTTCCTTTGGGCTTTCTGTTTTCCATAGAGCATCAAAAAGTTCCTTGGGCATAGAAGAAGAATTCTGAATGAGGCAACCAAAAATACCCCTGAAGGATCCAAAGACCAGCATCTTTTATCAACCTCATTAGTGACTGAAACTGAACTGAGCAAGGACAGTAAGGCTGAAAACTCCTCAACTTCATCATCTTTTAAAGCTCTTCTTGTCAACACTTGCCAAGCGCAAGATCCTTGGTCCCAAAAATCTGCAACAGAAGCACTAGGGGAAGGAGAAAGCTAATGGTTAAAAGACAACCTCATAAGAAAGACCACCTTTACTTTTATTATAAAAAGGACCACCTCATTTTTCTTTACATTGACTAATGGTTAAAAGACTAAAATAGTGTATTTCCTAAACCTTGGGATTCAATGGTACGATTTTGAAACCTAGGACAAAACGGAATTGATATCCAAGCCTTATGGACCAAAAAAGTAATTTAACCTTATTATTATCTGTATTTGGAGTTTTGAGATTACCAAGTCTAGTCTTATTATTTGTATTTGTGTTTCTTTTTTGATTAATGCCTTTCTCCATAATTCTCCTTTACCGTTGAGCGAGTTGAATCTCTTATCGCCTCGTCTGTGCTTATTTCTCTCTACTGAAAAACTGTCTTAAAAGAAAAGTTTTTCTGCCAATACTTTTCAACTTAGCTGGACGCATGTATCTTCATATGACGGGTTATTGGTTGGTGCTCGTGAATTTTTTTAACCTTGCTGTACAAAAATGGATATGCATTTGAAACGGGTGCCGGAGTTAATATATATCACAAGCGATATGAAAATTTATGTTTATTGAACTTCATCGGATGCTTATTAATATAAAAGAAAAAATATTGTGGTGCTACGAATTACGGAAGCACATACAATGCAATGCATAAGCTTGTATGGTTTACATTTTTGCATTTATTTGCCTTGCATACAGAAATGCATCTTGTTTTCTGTCTTATTTTATCTCTTCCATCTCCGTATATGATCTCGAGTGAGCGAAAAGTTCTGAACTGTCTGAGTTACAGGCCAAGTTGGAGCTGTTCAGTTGGGGATCAGCAGAGCCTTGCAGAATTGGGAACCCGATCTCCGTCCTCCATTGCGAGCTTGTAAGATAAACTGACCACACTTTTTCCATGTTAAGCTGTGATGAGAATGTTTGATATATATATGTATCAAGAGCAAGAGCATTGTTTTTTCTGATCTATTTTGGTGTTTTTTTGTTTGCTCGGTAGCTGGTTTCTTGACGCGAGATGCACGTGTCGTGGAACGGAAGAAGCCGGGAAAAGCGAAGGCAAGAAAGAGCTTCCAATGGGTCAAGCGTTAGGGGGCAGGCAATTCAGCATCTACTTGTATGGAACCTTCAACTTTCTTTCGTCTACAATAATTTGTCAAAATTTTCAAATAGGTTGGTTCCTGCATCGTTTTTGTAACGTAGAACAACACAATTTGTTTATTCCAAATACCTTGTTTGCTTTAGCTATTGAATTTACCATTAAGCTATGGATTCTCTCTCAGACATTAAAGCCCCTATAAATTTTTTTTAAAGGACTGAAAATTGTTACTAATTTGAAAGTGTAATAATTATACACTAAATTGTTACTTCAATGAAATTATAGGTATCAAAGTATTTTTTTATTTTTTAATCATTATTCTATTGTTGATTGCTTATCCTATGGTTATTTCTTCTATTTTCTCACTCAAATGGAATGCAAGGGAACTTTTATTTATTATATCTTTTAATCCCTTGGGTTTTTTCCCCTTTATTTTTTTAACATGCAATTTTGATCTATAAATTGGAGGCTTTTGGATTAACTGTATCATTTAAAATATAGGTTTCTTTCATAATTAATTATTTTAAATTTTTATAATCTGAACATTAATCAACGGATACTTATGTCTGAAGGTCGTGAGTTAAAATTCTCATCCTATATATTGTACCAGAAAGAAAATTTTAGTTTAAATTCTCGTGAACAAAATAGATGTTTGGGAAGTGATGAATTGTGATATATATATTATTTATTTAGCAAAAGAATAGAAAAAGGATTCAAAGTAAAAATTTTAGTTAAACTTATTAAATATCATATCATATAAATTCATTATAATTTTAATGCTTTTAGACGTGAAGATTATAATTGAAAAATGTTAAAATATGAGGGATTAAATTGATTTTTTTTAAATAATAAGGATTAAATCGAAAAATACTTCAATATAATAGACTAAAATATATATCTAGCTTATATAAATTGATATCAAGTTAATAATTTTAATTTAATGTTTGAAAATTAAATATATGCATATATTTTCGTTATTTTTTCAAATAAATATTTGAACAAATGGTTTAAATTACCTAACTCAATTCAACTTAAATAATTCATAGTTTGGTTGATTCAATTGAATTTAAAAGTATCTTAAATATCAATACTTTTCCTTTTAAAAAAATTAAAAGGTACTAAAAATCACATTTGTCAGAAGTGGGATTTGAACCCGCCCTCTCTCGAAGACCAAAACTTCAGTCTTGGCGCCTTAGACCACTCGGCCATCCTGACAAATTATCCAAATTAATATACTAATAATATATATAAAATATTAATAAGTTTCTAATATTTGGATTTTTTTTCTATTTATTTTTTCTTTAAAAATTTACAAATTTAGTCTCTTGTATCTTTTAACATTACGTAAATAAACTATAGAGATTAAATTATTACGTAATAAATTTTATGGATTAAGTTGTTACCGGTCAGAAAGTTCAAAGAACTAATTCGTTATTTCTATTAGGAGTGAGCATCGATCAGTCGGGAAATTTTTTTTTACCTTTATGTACAAATCGACGTTTAATCAACAGTTCGGTTGGTCGGTTTGATCAATTTTTAACCAATATTAAACTCAAGAAAGAAGCAGATCTAGATAAGTGTTAGAAGGCAAGAAAGAGAAGAAATGGGAGAGGGGAAGACGATTGAGGAAGGAGGAGAAGAAATGGAAGAGGAGAAGAGAAAACGATGAAGTAAGAAAAGAAAGAAATATGGAGAGAGAAACGGAAAAGGAAAATAAAATAGCTGGGGAAGGAGATCGGATAGAAAGGAAAGTAATAATAACAAATAAATAAAAGGAAAATAAATAAAAATAAATAAAAAAGAAAATAGTAATAATAAATTATTATTATTATTATTAATAAAAACAATTCACTTAAATCACGTGAAACCGTGGCAACTTATTACCTATTTTTTTTCTGCTTACTTGTATGAAATTTTAAATTTTTTTTTTATTTATAAGTTGGTCGGTCAGTTTCTTTGATATCAGAAGAGCCAACAGGCCAACTAGTCGATTTTTCACGATGGAAAACCAACACCAACCGACCGACGTATTTTTTATCGGTTGGATCAGTTTTTTGAACTCATTTGATCATCCCTAATTTCTATCAACATACCTAGACCAAAAGTATTTTTTAACCAATAGAATATTATTTTGACAAAGTTGAATGAGTTGTGAAATTGGTACCTCTTCAAACCTAAATAATTAATAATCACTCAAAATTGGTGCCAACACGAGTATAACTAAACGATAATTGGTACCTACTCCTTCCTCTTAGGTCTGAGGTTCACACCCCGATACCAATTTAGGCCTTTTTTTTTTCTTAGAACAACAAATTGGGATAGAATGCCAATTATTTATCAACCGAATCACTAATTCCAATAGTTAACAAAAGGGCAATAGAGTCTACAAAAGGGTTGGAAGGAGGAAAGAACGTGATTGATCCCTAATCACTAGTTAATGATAAAGTGTGCTTATAGATAATATAATAGTAGTTGATCTCATATATGATCAAAATTGGGTTAGAATTTGATCTCATTTTCATTCTTTTTCTTTTTGCTTATTTTTCCCCCTCTACTCTTTCCAATGAGTAAGCATGCTAGTGACTTGCATCACCTCTTCTAACCAAAACTAACCAGTTGCCTTGCAAATCCAAGAAATAAGGGATTAGAAATATAGTTTTCGAACCAAAATATGCTTCCATCCTGAGSTAGAGGGATCTGGGTAGACCTACTCTTTTGACAATCTACTTCAYGTGTAATCAGCGGTGTTGTTGATTTCGACCTTTTGTCCTCCCCACCTTTTCATACGTTCTACCGATTGATTCACCTGCACGTGTGATTTGGTAGATTAAATACGGGCGCTTCGAATGAGTTTTCAATATTCCACGACACACTAATAATAAGTTTGGTAGAACTTGAAAATAAGCGTGTGATAATTCTTCTGTAAACACTTTTGGAAGGAACACTAGTTATAAACTTTAAAGTTACTTTAAACAACTTTTGCTTAGGCAATCAAATACTTCAGAAGTCGAGAGGTAAATCATGTTTAGTACTTTTAAGTAAAAAATATTTTAAATTATTTTTGAATACGTAACCAAATATCATGAAAATTTTTGAAAATGATTTAATTGGCGAAGGGAGAGACTAGAGAGACTAGGGATTAGACTTACCTCATGGGTCCAGTTCGTTTTATAGAGTATGATCAGAAGCAGAACGGTTTGAAGGAACAGTCCACATATCATGCCTCCCCACAGTCCCTATGATTATGAAGAACATAACTTATATTCCATACGGCAAAAGGGAAAATGGTTCAATGTTTATGCACGATATATAAGACAAAATATGATAAAATAAAGGTTTAAATACTATGTTAGTTCTATATTTTCCACTTTAGTTTTTTTTTTTGTTATTTTTTTCTGTTTTTTTTTTTTTATAAGAAACATATAGAATGTACTTTTAAAACGTTTTTAGTTTATTTAAGTCCTTGTACTTTTAAAATGTCTATTTTGATCTTTATACTTCCAACATTTTTTCATTGTAGTCCCTATACTTTTGAAACGTTTGTTTTAATCTCTGTACTTTTAAAAACTTACCATTTTTGTCCCTTTGTTTTCATTTTTATTTCATTCATTTCAACCACAATTTTAGTCTAACACTTAAGTAAGTAAATTTTTTTGAAATGTAACCATAAATTTGTATTAAAGAATTTTCATTGTATATAAAATTTGTATTAAAATTTTGTAGGTGGACCATAATGAACAAAAGTTGATAGTATACGAACCAAAATGGACATTTTGAAAGTACATAAACTAAAAAGAATCAAAGCCGAAAGTAAATGTACCAAAATAGTATTTAAACCTAAAATAAAATCTCACATGTGAGTTATATTTCATATGCTAGAGCAGTTTTACTGACCTGAACTCCCAAATGTTTTGTATAACCAAGAAGATAACCAAGGGGAAGACCAAAAGCATAATACGAGCCAAGATTGATATATGCTACCAATGTTTGCCAACCAGCTCCAATAGCGACACCTGAAAAAAATCAGGAAAAGTAAACAAAGAAAGGGAGAATGAGAATCTTGTTAACTTAGTAGACTTGTAAAGCATGGTAGATGTGGTACCTGAAATTACTGGCTGAACACTGTTCAGAACCATGGTGATTCCAAGAAGGTATGCTAGTTTAGAGACAGCAGCTTGCATTTCTTTGCTGTTGGTGTAAATGATAGCAAAATGGTCCTTAGCTATTAAGATAATCACCATGGCGAGTAATCCGAGAAGAAGAGACTGAAATACTGTAACATATACAGAATATTTGGCTGCCATAGGACGTCCTTGTCCAAGCTCATTGGAAACCCGCACGCTGAGAAAGCAAAACTAATGCAATTTAGCACACTTATAATAAGTATTATATGTAGACATCAAGTAAAGAATATAGACAGATTTAAGATTAATTTCCACAATAAGCCGTAGCTGCCTTTAACTATCATATCTTCAGCTCTAGATCATATAAACAAGAATTAGATGATGGTTGAAGCAACAGGAGACTATTGGCCTGGAGCACCACCATTGGTAGTCTAAAATTATCCTCCAAAATCTTCAGTTTTTGTTCTGTTTTGACACTATAGTTTATGTGGAATATGAGATGAGATCATATTTCAAGTAAACTATTTGAACTTCACAATTTTAGATTCATGATTTGACCACCCAGTATTAGAATTGTAAGTAGCAGTAACAACCCTTCAGAGAGAGAAGAAATATAATGCCTTGATCTGATCACATACCTAATGGCAGCATTTATACCTATGAATACCATTGCTTCCAACCCGTTGACATTCATGCTGCAAAAGTAAAAGTAAAATGGATTACTGATAACTACAAATTCTGCTTAAAATGTACATGCTCGAAAATTGAAGTTCCTCTAACAAAGCTATGCATTAGTTTTTCATGCTTCTCAATTCTCAAGGTTTCTATTTCCCAGCCGTATCACCCAATAATCCCATTATTGTGCCATGAACTTGCTAGGGATTCTCAATCAATTTCTATCCAGAAAAAAATTTATATTTTGATGTAGAAACAGCAGAAGGGTACAGTATTATTATCATGGTTACAATATTAGTAAAAGATAAGGCCATAGATAAGCCACGAGAAAAAGAAGAATTGGAAAAAGTCGAGTTCTGTTCTTACCAAATTGAAAGGGAACCAACAGCATATACCGCATTATCCAGATGGCCAGTAAGAATAATTATACTCATCATATACCAGAGTTCTAGACAAAGCATTACGGCAGATGAAAAGGAGAGCCCAACAAAAGCCCAAATATCATTGAAAGCCGACCACGACAAACCAGTCCATCCATCTTTACACCAACCAACAACGTAGATAACTTGTGCTATAGAAGTAACCCAACTAGAGATGTTACTTGCGATGGCTGCACCAGTTAAGTTCCAGTTGAATACGAAAATGAAGAGCCAGAGCATCCCGGCATGTAATAACAAGGCCAGAAACCCAATATAGGCAAGGACATTGACCTTGCTCTGGGCTTGAAGGAACTTTTGGGTGGGAAAAACAATCGCAAGTGAGAAGATTTCGGGGATTAGTAACCTTGTGAACCATCCTGCAAGGTCAGCTATTTCATCTGCTTGTCCTAGAAACTTTAGGATTGGCGCAGCATACCAGTAAATGGGCAGAACAAAGAAGCCGGAGACTGTAAGGATAATCCATGAACGTTGCATATAAACACCAAGCAAGTAAACTTGTCCAGCGCCATAAGCTTGACCACACAGCGTCTCCAGCGCACTTCCCATACCAAGCTACATTTTGTAGAAAATAAAGTTTAATAATAGTTGAGAATATAAAAAGCTGAAGAAGATGAAGACAACAAATGAAAGCAATTTTCAGGGCAGAGGTAGAAAGTATTCCTAAGGAGGAGCAAAATCTTCCAACGTATAATCTTTCGATTCTCAAAATTTTAAGGAGACTTTAAAATCATTTTCTATATAACTTTCTAATCTAAGACGACACCCTTGTCAATTTAGATCCTACACTAATACAGAATCAGACCAGGAATCTGAGGACGAGTTCTTGTCTGAAATAAACTGATCGACTTTTGACTCAGGGTTTTACATTTTTCACCATGCTTTCTAGCATCGCAAAAAATGGCACAGAAACGAAAACTTCTTACAAAATAGGCAGAAAAGTAGACGCAAGCGCACATCTACAAACACGAAATTATTACAATCAGCAGAAAGTTCTTTCAGATCTAGAAAACGGAGAACCATTTTTTTGTTTTTTTTTTAACTTTTGTTTGTCTAAAATTTAAATCTCCGGCTAGTTTCAGCAGGTAAATCAATTGAAGAAGAAACAAAAGGGAAAAAAATAACACTCATCCAGTCATCCTACATCAATATTTAGACGTTTTGTAGAGTAATTTAAGAGAGAATCCTTTTCTGCTCGGTCTAATTTCGTTAAAAGAAAACGAGATAGAAATGTGATAGTTAACATATTCTCCTGCACTGCAGTCCATAAACACTGAGATACGTATACATCCCAATCAAACCCATCCGCATTACAGATTTACATGCAGGAACCTAAAGAAAACCGATGATAACGAGAAGAGAAGGAAGCGCACCATGAAGCCGAAGATGAAGGTTCCGATGACGGAAACAGAGATAGAAACGGCGGAAAGCTCGACGTCACCGATATGGCCGACGAACATGCTAGTGAGAGAGTTGATTCCGAAATTGCAAATGATAGTGAAGACAATCGGCGCCGCTAACTTCCAGAGCTTAATCGTCTCTGTAAAGAACAAATGCTTCACCTCACCGAGACTCTTGACCGGCTCGTAGTCTGCCTCGGCGATGGCGACGGCGACGCCATTCAGCAAAGGCGCTTCCATTCTTCTTCTTCTTCTTCTTCTTCTGGTTGCTGCTGCTGCGCTTGCAGACTCTTTTGGACGTAGCTACCGCAGAGTATAGAGAATCTCAAGGTCGTCAAACATGGCGCCTCCCTCCGAATACACCTCGCTGCTACTTATGGGCCGTTGGGATCATTCACCTTTCGTTTCTCTCTCCCTTGATAACGTTGATGTCTATGGATATTTACGTAAAAATTAGAAAAATAAAAAATAAAAAAACCGTAAAAAATATTTAAACTAATAAATAAATATTTTTTCTTTTTAAATTAGTTAAAAAATAAATAATACTAATATTATATATATTAAGGACATTTTGTTGATATTTTTCACATTTTATCGATTTTTTTTATTAAGACAGAAATGTCGATTTGTGTCGATGTTAGAACCATGATTATAACAACATTAATTATAAAATAATCTAAAAAGTCAAATGGGAGGGATTACACCTATGTTTTGGACCATTTTCTTCAAGCACATATCAATTTGATTGGTGTTCATGATCATGCCACATCTCCAATTACGAATTAGGTTAAAATGCATACAAACTTTTATATCTATCATTGTACTACCTATTGCGCAACACTACAAATCTAGCAAAGAAATTGACCAAACATATGAAAGCAACATTTTTAACTAGAAAAAAATCGTCAAAGTGAGTATAGCTGACGGTTATTGACATATATAAAGGTTAATGAAGTTGTGAGTACGATTCCATGCCTCCACATGTTGTACTAAAAAAAAGTCATTGATTATGCATCCTGAAAAAAGAAAAATAATAAAGTCATTGATTATGTCAATAAAATATCGATGTTGATGGACATTTTTACGCTTATAGTGAAAGCTTGAGCAGTATGAAGTTCGAGAAGTAAGAGTACGATCTTAGATCTTAAGTTGAGCTTAGATTACGTACGTGATGTCAAAATGATGTCTTTCTAGCTCTCCACTGACACGTCGTATTTTATCCGCCAACAATGGAGATATGAATATGTTACCAGAAATTTAATACTTTGGGTACTTTGAGAAATTATTGGGAGAGGTTAAACCAATGTAACTACAAATTGTGTAGTTTTGATGTGTGAAAGATAATGGTTATAGAAAAATGTATTTTATGTAATGGTATTAAATAGTGATTATTGAATACATATACAAAATGAAAATCTTTAATATAAAATTATTACAAATTTTTAAAAAATTTATTAAATGTAGTGTTTGGGTTGAAATTGTGATAGAAAAAAATGAAATTAAAAATTGATAAAAAATTAAAATGGATAAAAGTTAAAAATTTATGGAGTAAAATGATATTTCGAAAGTTTGATGATAAAAATGTAAAAAGAAAAAAAAGAAAAAAAATCTAGCACAAAAATAGCATTCCATTTATTATTTTCAACTATACTTTTGAATAATGTTTTTTAAATGCCAAGTTAACTTTTCCGTCATTTCGTTTCAATAATTTTTTTCGTTTTAGAATAACAATTCTATGTTCGAATAATTGTTTAGTCAAGACATTTATTTAATTTTATTTTTAATTTATTTTGATGAATACCTTAAAGTTTCTTTTAGTTTTATCTAAAAGATTATGTATTATAAATTATAATTTCAAAGCATACGATAACATATACATTAATAATTATTCGATCATAATTTGTTAAAAATTAAGAGTAATTCAAATAAATTACTATAAATTTTCTCCAAAAGAAAAGGAAAAAATCCTTATTAATGTTTTTTTCTTTTTTCTTTTTTTAACCTTTTCCTCAGGAGTTAGGTAGGCATAGGCGTGAAAATCGTTTTCCAATTTAAGTTGGTGAAATAAGCGGCGGACAAGGAGCCACGTCATTAAAAAAAACACGTTCGATTGTTATATTTTTATGTTTTAGTCCCTCAATTTTAATATATTTTCGTCTCGATCTATGTATTATATATTCTATAATCAATAATATATTAAAAAGTTAAAATTTGAAAGATATTTTGAGAGTATTATGTTTCTCTTTATTTATTTCCAAATTTATTAAGTACATATTTTTTAATTTTTAATCACTTTAATTACATATAATATGAAAAGCTAGAGATAGGACTAGCTTATATAACGAAAAATCTTCCTTTTTTATATCAATAATTTAATTCTAAAAGTTTATGGTCCTATATTTACTTAGAATTAATAATGAAATTTAAAAGTTGCGATTCCTACGTATATCATCAACTCAGGACTTCTTGATTGAAGATATATTTCAATAACCACTATGCTTATTTTGATGAATCTTTTCTACAACAACTTGATTTTTTTCTTCTTTAAGAAAGTTGTTTTCATATCTTTGGTCTGTTTCTGTGCCATGCGCAGTAGGTAGTACAATGGTAAATATAAACATTTATAGGCACTTTGATCTAATTCATAGCTGAAGATATGGCATGATCTTGAACACCAATCAAATTGATATATGCTTTAAAAAAATGGTCCAAAACATAGGTGTAATCCCTCCCATTTGACTTTTTAAATTATTTTATATTTAATGTTGTTATAATTTGTGTTTTTATAATTTTAGTTGATTTATGTTTATTTATTATATATTGTTTGTGTTCGTTTTTTTTTCTTTTTTTAATTTTTGATGTTTATTTTTATCTATTTGAAGTTATTCAATTAGAGTCAGGGAAAAATGATCCACCATCTTTCCCACTTTTAATGAGTGTTTCGGATGATTTTATAATATCTTGAGCTCATACTTAATTATATATATGAATTAGAAAACACGTAGATCAAACCCTCCCTTTCCAATAAGAATTAAAGTTTTATTTTCTCGGCCTTTCTTATTAACTGAACTAAGTTCTTGTTTTCTGCGGCTATGTTTGGATTGTTTTAAAAAAGAAAAAAAATTCATGTTAGACAACTTCCTATGCCGAGAAATTTTATATTAATTAAACTACATTGCAATTAAAAACTATAAATAGTAGAGTACTTATATCACACGCGTTAGTTTACTAGTATTTCGCTAATTAAGGCTAGATAGGTTTTTTTTACTTTTCAGTTTTTATTTTTTAAAAGACAAGTTTCTTTATGAGCAATTTATTTGTTTTATAATTTATATTTAACAAATTTTCAGAAAAATAATAAGTAAAAATTGCAAAAAATAAAATAAAAATTATTTGATTAATCACTCCCCAAATTTACCAAATTATTGCACTTAAATTTCATGTGTGTGGCAAATATGAACTAGCCAATGAGATTGTGAGTTCGAATTCCCTATTTCACTTGTACTAAGAAAGAAAAAAAATCATGCGCTGTTATATATGACTGTTAATGACATGTTGCAAAATGGTTTCATTAAAAAAAAAGACGTCAAGTTATTAAATAATCCATTGTTGAATTATTAGGACTGTTACAATTAAGCCAAGTTATAAGACAGTTATAATTTAAATCATAATTTTTTAATGCTATTGTGTTCTTACCGAAAATTTTCGGTAATCACAATGAGGTCTTCAAGAACACTCCACGACGGGTTCGTTCGGAGATTTTATCAGTAGAGGATTTTAGGAAGACTTATGCTTGTAAAGTCAGATTCCTACCACCTTTGCTTACGAGTATTTATAGTACCCCTTGATTACCGTTGGTGTTAGTGGGCTTGAAGCCAAGCCCACGACTATTTTCGAATTTACGGGCGACCGATGCGCTCGGGGGGGGAGAGCGTGTCCATTCGCGGTTGAGAGTTCGAACATGGAGGGACGAGTTCTGCCTGTTGGTAGAGTTCGTAATCTCTCGAACTCGTACCTACCGACACAGTCGGTGCACGTGCGAGCCTGTTAAGTGGATTAGGATGACGTCAGCTTAGTCGAACTTCCGATTTGATCAATAGCCCCCAACTTTGGAAATATTCAAGGGGTCTTTATTTGATTTTTCCGAAGTTGTTTATGAGACGAATTCGGACACTTGACCTACATCATCAGGGATTTCCTCCCTTTCTGAACTCGGGCTACTAGTCGTTAGGTATTTAAACCCGATTTGTATATATTCGAATTCATTTCCATCACCTCCTTCCGTTCGTTCTTCAAAATTAGTCGTTTTAGGGCAGGATTCCTCCTTCTCAGCCATTCGCCTTGAGCATTACATCAGATACTTCTTCGATTTCTCCTACCCCTTCATCTCCTAGGTAACCTCCTATTTCCTAACCCTAACTGAGTCAGAATTTCTTTGAGCTTTTTATACCTTTAATCGATTGATGGCTAGGACGAAAACCTTAATAATCTTATAAGCTTATAGTTTTGTAAATTTGTTGGGGGTGATGGATAAATTAAAAATTTATGGGTGTGATTGTAATTAAAAATCCCATAGGGACAGTTTTTGCAATTCTTAGAAAAAAAAACTATTTATTATTTGTAACTAACCTTTATTAGTTTTATGCTCTCTCTCCTCGAGCTGACAATTTCAAATAACAAAATTTAATTAGTTTAAGCTTAAACATACTAAATGGTCTATATAAACTTTTATGATTTTTGTTTTTTTTTAATTGAGTCATTTTAACCTTTAAAATTTCTCAATTATATTCTCGATATAAAAATCTGTTAACAAAAAATAATGTTTCATATTAAATTATTGTTTTATAAAAATAGTTGGAGATGTGGTTATGACTGATGAGCCACTTGGTCGGATACCATTGGACACAAAATTCAATTTGTCAATAAAAAAAAGGAAACCACAAACCATTATTAAATTGTTGAAACATGAGAGAGATAAATATAATAATAGAAAAATTCAAAAGAAAAAAACATTTCACTAGTTGTAAGCACATTTAAATATTATTTAAGAAAAAGTCTAACTTATCCCTCAATAAAATTCATTTCTACCAAAGTGATATGTCAAAAGTGGCAAACTTTCCCACGTGTGGCCAAGAAATTGTTAACAAAAAGTTATGTATGATTAAATTCTACTCTTATTAATATATTTGGACACGTCCTTTTATTTATATATATATATATATATATATATATATATATATATATATTATGTGCCACTATTACGTGACACATAAAATTTAACATGTCCATCAAAATAAAATTCAACATGCCCATCAAAAAAATTTATTCTACCAAAGTGGCGAGTCCAACGTGTCATATCCAATGTATCTAAATATGTTAACAAAATAATAATCAATCA